TAGATAAATTAATACGTTTCTCGTTCTCGCATTTTATCGCATTTATTATAAGACATTCTTACGTAGCATACTTACTGCATGTACAAATACAAAATAAAATTTAAAAATGCATATTTCATATCGTGTTTAGTTGATATAATTTTTATAAAATTCCTTTCCTTTTTAGCGTACTATGAAATAATTTCTTTTATATTTTTCATCGTTCAAGTTCTAAGAAGTGTTTTTCTTATCTTATTATCTTTTTATTATTCTGGAAAAATTTTAAAAATGTAGAAAAGGGTGTTAGAAGATGAATAAATATGCTTGATAATAATTCTCAAATTGTCAAAAAAAAAAAAAAGTAAAGAACGCGACTAAATTATTTTTTTTTAATGCAAACAATAACAAAGTGACAGTAAGAGAATAAAAAGAAGAGAGAATGATCTTAATAAGACTGCTTGCTCGTAGCTTAATATTAATAACTTTATGCACCCTCGAACTCTCAAAGCAAACACAATGCGATTTGACACGCAGATAGCACACTGGATGTTTATACGCGTCCAAAGGGAGAACTTAGTGTCAAGTGAATCGGCTAATATCTATTTAATTAATTTGGGGGAACACACCCTCGGTTTAACAATATGTTACCCTTCTGAGGAGACTTTGTCATGGTCTTTTGAGTGATCCTGTTACGACCTCAATATGTGGAGCAATTTGTCTCGAAATGATCGTAAAGAAATCGTAATATCCTAACTTGCAGAAAATTGTGTCTTTCATGATTTTAAAACAAATCTAATCATTAATCATCAGTGGATGAATCGTATTTCAATTTAAATTTTGTTACATATATAATAAAGTAATCTTACTTGTCCAGATGAAAAATAAAGGATTTTCATACTACTTCTAAAGAAAAACATCACAATAGTATAATATTTGGTAGTACATAATATTTTAGCATCAATTTTCATACTTTGATTGTGCTTAATACGTTGACAGAAGAACTCTACCAGATGATTACACTCCATTTAGCACACGTGCAATGCTATGATTCCTGAAGGGAGATAAAAGAAAGTTTGTTAATCGTTCTTTAAAATATACAATGCTATTCGCTTTTTCAAAATTAATACGTAAGTTTGCATGTCATAATAAAAAGTGACAGACAATATCAAGAAGTTCATTATGAAAATCAATAAAATGATAAGTTCGTTCAAGAAATATCGGTTTTGAATTCAAAAATATTCGAACAATAATAAATTGTTAAATAATTTTCCCTTCATTTCATCATTTCTTATCAATATCTATTTCATGAAGTGTTGAATGTAGACAAAACTTTTGCAATTACAAAGAGAAGAAGTAAATTAAAAGAAATGAAAGAAATGTAGACATTTAAAAAAAGCTTCCAACAAATAGTTTGTCCATCTTTAACATACCAGGGTCGATAATTCCGATACTGTTCAACCCTCAACTCCTACGAAACAAGGCAAACCATGAGGATTGTCCGTAAGCTCCACCCTTCACAACCACCTGTCCAACGATCGTGTTTCACACAAGTTGGTTAAGGGTGAGATTCTCCAATTGGAACAGGGATGACGACGCAAGCGTCCGAGAATAGTGAATAACACTGGTTCCAGAGGGTTGCTTTGAAAAAGGGGCGGGCTCGAGATGTACCAAGCTCCAGGAGTTCGATTCCCTGGATGAGGGTATCAGTGGAATCCTCAGATTGAAGGTGACACTCAGACCGCAACAAACGTTTTATTTGACTCGTGTATCGACATTCTTTTTCATTATTTTTTTTTTTAATTGAAATACGAGGGTGGTACTTCCTGAACTCATTTGCTCCTGGATAGAACCCGGGATATGAGCTACACCGAACCGTTGTGGGAGATCAATGGAAATCAAGCACCAGTGAGTATAAATAATTAAAAGTGAATCCCTTAATTACAAAGGTATATAGTATAGAAATAAGATCAATAAATTAGTATTATTGTAACACATCTTTTACTACAATATTGTTCAGAATGCTACTTATTTACTGATTAAATAAAATTATTACATTGTGATAATCCATAGAACACGAATGAGAAGTTTGATTAACAATTTTCTAATATTTCTTTCGACATTTAATACAATAATATATAATATCAATATTTAATTTTTCATTTGTGTTTGTATAATAATGAGAGATAATAATTAGCACGAATGATGATATTTCTTTTGCATTAATAAGAAATAGCGTGCATATAAAAGTAAACGCAAGTAAATGAAATAGGTGATTACAGCGGATATGTCGCAGTACGTCAGCGGCGAACTCGGAAGCTACCCGATGTGGGACAGTTCTGTCTTATACCAAGCACCACCTCCTTCGCACTCTCATGTGAACGAACACGGATTATATAGACAACCCTGTGCATTATTACATCAAAGGTAATTATCCCTGTGTGCTATAATAATAGCTAAATTTCTTGTCACAATTCTAGTTTACGCAGCGATAAATCGAAGAAATAATTCTAAACTTTGAAGATTTCAAATCTTGAAAGAAATGAGAATTATTTACAACGACGTTTTATTAATTAATTGTCAATGAATAAAATAATTTCAGTCGTTACACGCCTAATGGTAGATCTCCGAATCTCCCATCGTCCACCACAAAGAAACCAAGGCGTCGCGTGGCGACTGTTTCGCAAAGAAGAGCAGCAAACATCCGTGAGAGGCGCAGAATGTTCAATTTAAACGAAGCTTTCGACAAGTTACGCAGAAAAGTGAGTTGTATATGCATAGATTTTTGTTCTATTCTTGAATCTCATAACAATATTGCTAACTTCTATAAGAATGATTATCTCTTGCTACTATTGTATTATGCGTTTGTATAATTTTGTACAATTAATTTTTTACTAGTTATTAGCGAATGTTTATCCAAGTATATACTTTAATGAGCACAACTAAAGGAATTCAGGGAATATTATAATAAATATTTCACTTTGAACATTTTGTATACTTTTGCGTATTATGTGCATTTTGTGCAATTTTACATTTCTCATAAATCCATAGATATCTGCATTCTATCGATATAGCAATGTTGCTTAAAATTATTTTACGACCTTTATTCCTCAGGTGCCAACTTTTGCTTACGAAAAACGACTCTCGAGGATCGAGACTTTGCGCTTGGCCATCACTTACATTGCATTTATGGGAGAGCTGCTTGGAATTGAACCGAGTAGCCCAAAACCAGAATACATCCCGAGGGAATACTACTTGCCAAATTAAACCTATAAGACGTAAACATTCATATGAAAACCTAAAACAGAAGAATTTGATCAAAAATCAATTTTTTATACGTAAATCGTTTTACAATTTCAGCAGTCTGGTATTTTTAGAAATAAAATTACCATAACTTGTGATATGCGTAAGAAAACATGGTAAACGGTTGGTTACATATTAAAAAGTTCAATTTGGTCTATTTCAAATGGATATATTTCCTGGAAAATATTGAGTTAACAAAATTGCATATGTATGTACATGCGGTTGAATGATAACTTTGGTTACTGGTAAGAAAACAATATGATGACAACCTTAACAAATCTGGCATTGACCTCCACTCATTCGAATCCTCTCTTTAATATTTTAATAGATACTCGATTTTTCAAACTCACGGTACATGTTTCAAAATACATACAGAAATCAAAGTACATTATTAGATGACAGATTTTTTATGCATTTATGGGAAATTTGCGCCGAAGTGCACAAAATGCATATAATACGCGAAGATATGTATATAAAATATCCACAGTATAGTATTCGTTATAATATTTAGTATATAAAATAATTTTCTACTTAGGTTACATTTTTTTAATTATCTCCACAAAAATATGAATTTACATAAATATTCGCAGTCTATAGATTATCATCTAATTTCTTTATTTTCGAAAAATCATCAAGAAGATTTTTTAATTAAACATATCGCAAATTTGATTCTGTAAGGATATTTAATAAAATAATTACATAAATTGGAGTAACTTACACATACTCGAATACTTCTAAAAATTGTCAACAAATATTTTAAGTTTATTGATAAGTAAATCGTCGAAATAATATAATCATTCATATGAACAAAACTATCGAGTGCAAAATACATCTAAGAACGTAATGTCGTATATGTTTGAAATTAAGTAAGATTAATGCATCCACATATACGTATAAGTGTTACAATTCGAGTATTAAGTAAATTACAGTAAGCGTAGTTAAGAACCCACTCGAAAAAACATTAACTAACACTTAATGTTTATGTGATTTTACGAAATAAGATAAAAATCCGTGTCTTCCATAATTTATGTAAATCTGCTTATTACATATTATCATTATATTTAAATATAAGATGTACAAATACTATCACAGTATGTATCTTTCGTTAGTACACCATTTTGTCTGTTTTAAAAGATTGAAGAAATTTCTTTGTATAAAATTTTAACTTGACTGCATTCTTTGAATTATTTTTTACTGGATTGTATTCCTCTCTTATTAGAAAATTTCTTAAGTTTGAGAAAAATAAGAAAGAATCATTACTGATATAATAATGATGATAATAACATAATGCCATGATAATAATAATGATAACAATGACATAATAACGTAATAGTAACAACATACTAAAAATTTCTTAAAACGTTATAAGCCCTCTATTCGATTAAAACGAAAACACAATTGAAAGAATATAAAGAATCAAAGGATCGCAGCAGGGTTAAATGCGGTTTTTTCGAAACTATGCTTTTTAATCTGATACTCAGTAATGTTCGAGAATAATCATTAGATAAATTTCAAATTTTTACACATTATTTCTTATAAAGTTACTTACAAAGTAGCATATGATTTTTATGATATTTTAATTTGTTAAATCTTTGTAAGCCTGATTATTTAAAAATTGATTCCTTTTAATAATAAATGTTTTCGGTAAAAAACTGTCATTTCCTTAGTTCTTTAAATAATTTATTTCTGAAAACTGATTAATCGATCTCAAACAGCGATTCGAGAATGTACCCTAAGTTGGTACTTCTGAAGCAATCTTCAAGTTAGTGAAAAAAGTACCGGTTCCACAAAAATTGGATACAAATGTCACTTGTATTGTGCAAACCGATTTTTGGAATAATTACGCTCTTTTGTTTCGCTAGAGGTGTTCCTGCTACTACTTATAGAAACATGAGCGATCTCGCTGGAGTTCATTCTGTTGCATACGTAACAGTTCCAACACAAGAAGTCGCTAAAAAATTGTCTCAGTAAGGATCGATATAACCTATTGAAAATTAATTCTCTAAAAAATAAAAATTACTACTTTAATTAATCTATACTTAATTTATAGTGGCTTGGTGAAGAATAAATTAGCCGCTTGCGTTAATATTATACCAGGGCTTACATCGGTGTAAGTATAATGTATGTACTGTTCATTGTGCATGCAGACTAAAATATTTTAATTTCATTTAGAAATATTATTTATATATTATAGATATGAATGGAAAAATGAAATTAATGAAGATAATGAACTTCTACTGGTAAGAAGCAAAAAAGTAATGTTAGTAGGTTAAAGTTATTGATACATACTTTATATACTTTATTTTAGATGATAAAAACTAGGACTGATACTGTAAATGCCCTAACAAAATATGTAATGTAAGTACATATTTTGATATTTTTGAATTATTATATACATACGATTAAAATTAATTTTGAACTGGCTTTGAACAGGGAGAACCATCCATATGAAGTTTGTGAAGTAATCTCATTACCTGTAAGTATTGTTTAATTATATTTTAACATAGGATATGTACTCTAATATAATGCAGATGAAAGTTGAACAATGTTTTATTATAGATTCAAAATGGAAGTCACAAATATCTCCAATGGATAAGCGAGATAGTTCCACCTATCAATCAAAGAGAGCAATAAAATAACTTTTCTTCTATATCCATATTTAAAAGGATTCTAATGTCATATATTATAATAAAAACATTTATTTACTTTGTTATAAAATAACATGAATTGTTTCATGAATTTTTCACTACCATGAAAAGTTATGTTATGCTAATTAGAAAAAACAATACAATTAACAAAAATGCAAACTAGAATCATTACAGTTGATTTAAATTTGGACACATCGGTAGACGCGTATAAATGTACAAATAAATGATCAAACATTTATAGTGTATAGTCAATTGTATAAATCTTATACTACATACAAATATAAAACTCGAAACTGTATAAATCAAAAATCAATATAAAAATAAGTACTACAATAACTATGTATATTTTCATTTCTTGAATGTTTCTCTCTTTCTGAAAGAAAATTCATTCTTTTTTTTATCTTATTAGTATTGTCAGTCAATTTATTAATGCAAATATTATAATAATAAAATTAATTGTTATATTTATTAATGTAAATGTTGTAATAATAAAATTAATTGTTATTGTAGTGAATCATGGCAATAAATTTTGTATACTAACAAAAATTTTTTATACTATCAAAATGTGTTGTCCACCCTATAAGTATGTATTATAACAAAATCACTAATACATTTTATTCGTGAACCATAAATTGTATCTAAAATATTATTTAATGGAGTCTAGGTGTGTGTGTAAATTCGTATTTGAAATATAAGTATTATTTTACTAAAAATTAATGTTATCTGCCACCCTCATATCCTGGATAAAGCGATAACAGAGCAGATGATAAACATTGATTAATTTCCATTTTATAATTTTTGTCTAATAAATAACGACATGACGGGCAATATTGGACACCCGACGAAAAAGTACGTTTTAAACAATTAAGACAAATATTATGTGTGCACGGAATCGTGACAGGATTATAAACAAGTTCCAAGCAACAGGGACATGTGAATCTGCAATTTAAAAATTATAAAAATTTGAAAATATAACAAATATATTTACTAAAAACTTGATGAGTAACATACCTTTCTGAAACTTGTTGTAAAAATGCAGTTTTTCCATCTGGTAAAGCCTTACGACATTCATCCCATAATTTTATATTTGCTTGATCTTCTTCAATATGTTTCACTACTTCACTTTCTAATTCATAACTCTCAAGTTTCTTTTTCTTCTTTGGTGGTTCTTTTTTCGAAGAAGTAGAATTTTCTTCTTCCATTAGTATATTTCGCTTTTTATTTGTCTTATTAGTTTTATTTATTTTATTTTTTGCCATTGCTTCCAAGTATCCATCTGGATACATTGGTTTTAAACCAAGAGCCTCTATACGTGCTTTACCCTCTTCGGTCCATGGTGCAGCTGCTGGATCATCTCTCCTTAATAAATATCTCCATACGCGAAATCCGCTTTTACCTGTATCTGGATAATACTTTACTACCTTATATATGCCATCATATCTAAAATAAAAATATTTTTGCAAAAACTAAATATTAGAACATATAAAAATAACAATAATGATTATTATTATACCTGTTGCCCTCTTCTGGTGCATATTTGCTATGTTTAGCGAGTTTGAAATTTCTGACAACTCTTACAGGTATACCACCTCTCCAATCTTCAGCTGTAGCGCCGGTTGTCGCATTGAGCTTTGCATTGCAATTTAGAGCCAATGCTTTATTCATTCGAGTCAACATCTGATCGCAACTTTGTTCAGCTGTTCTTTTATTTCCTTTATAAATATAACAAATTAATTGAGTCATAACAAATTTATTTATAATTAAATATTCTACCTGATAGGTCCCTGCCTCCAGAGCCAGTATAAATAAACTCATCACCGTTATCAATATCATCCTCGTAACCTCCAGATAATACAATAGAATATGCACAATCTGTTTCTCTCCCATGAATTCCAGCTATATGTGGTCTATGCACTCCAACTTCAGACACCTATCATTTACATATCCTTGATTTATTTATATACACAAAAGTTATTAAAATTAAAGATTATTTAAAAATTTCAATTACCTGTACTCTGTACATCCAACACATTCCAACTTCTACTCCTGGAATAGGTCCACGATGATTAGGTGGAACTATACTGCACTCTTTTGTCCTTCCTACACATGCCATTCCTTTACCCCAATCTCTCTTACTACTATTGTTTTCATTCGTTTTTTTTTTCGTTTGTTTAAGTTTATCACCTGCCTTTAAAAAATAATGATTTATAAATTTTATAAATATTACAAAATAAAGTATTATTAAGTGGTAATTAACCTTCACAATTTCATTTTCATCATTTTTACATTCTGGGCAATACCAGTAATCTTCTTCAGGTATAGATGTTAATGGAGGATTCAAACAACTTAAATGATATGCGGAATTACACTCATCGCATAAGAGAAGATTGTGTTCATCTTCTTTCCCAGCACAGACTCTACAACCACATTCTCTGCATTCCTTGTTAGGATTGTCCAAACATGCATCACAATAAGCTTGTATACGTCTTCGTTTACCACTACTGACCATATGTTGTTCATCTTCAGGACTTCTGTCTGTAAGAAATTTTGGTTCTTCTATGGCAAAAATCTCTCCTTTAGGATTTACTTTCCGATTCTCAAGTGGTTGGTCCCTATTTAAATAGATACACATATTTTAATCATACATTATACCAACTTAAACTGAATATTTGAATTATACAATACTTACTTTCCAATATGCAATATCCCAATAAGTTCTTGTACCCTCTTCTTTTTATCTATTTTCAATATTGTAAAATCATACCATAATCCTGTTACTTTGGGATCATCAACATTGTGATTGATCATCACTTTTTGACCTATTTTTAAGCTATCAAATTTTAATAAACGCCTTGCACGTGGTCTTACTGATGACTCAGGTACATTGAAAGCTGGAGCTTTATCATCAAATTCCCACTGCATATTATAAATAATATTATCATCTCTTTTAAAGATTTTTAATATTATTGCCTCAAACCAAGCTCCATAAGTTTGATCAAGACAATCTACCGCATCTCCAACCTTATAATATAAACTTTCTGCTTCAGACAACTTTTCTTCTTTACTAGAATTATCTACAATTTCTTCTTTAATAATAGAACTAGAAGTAACTTTAGTACTCGAAGTAGCTTGGCTTTCTACTTCATTGATTTGTATTTTAACCATTAATTGAATTACATCATTCAAATTAACATTATAATCATATAGCTTATAACCATTTTCTAATTGTTTCCCACGGAAGAATAACCGTTGTAAATCCACTTTTATATTCAATTCCTTTTCAATCTCACGCTGCAAAATAATATTTTTATAAATGAAAGATTTTACAAAATGTTATTAAATAAGTATACAAATACTTCAAATAGATAGAATTATAAAAATATAGAAATACTATACTCCAAATAGATAATTTCTTTTTATTCACACATTATTATTATTAAATAATTGTAACTAACATTAAATAAATGTTTTTAATAAAATAATGGAATATTTAATAAAGTCAGAGTTTTTTACTTCAAGAATGTCAGCATTAAACGTAAATATCAGAGATAAAATCACAACTTTCACGAAAGATAAAAAAATTGTATTTTTTATCTGAAATTAGTACTTCCTATACTACATTTATTTTACCTTAAACTCTTCCACTTCCGTCAATTTGGAGATGGTTAATATTGCCTCCTGTTTACCATCCATTGTTCTCACTTTAACGTACATTTTAATATGTTTATTCAGTCAAAAATTTTCAAAAAATGCGTTATCTTGTGCCTAGTTCTTTAACACAACGATCAACGTGTGCAAAACCAAAAAATGTAATTCACTTCATTAACATTCATAGAAGTGCAAATAAACCAACAGTGACTGTCATCAGTCGTGAGTAACTTCAACACTTGTTGGCATTTACTACTGAGAAATTTGGCGGGAACAGACCATGGGTATATATGGCGGAAAAAGAGATAGAACAAGAAAGCAATCACATTCAGGTATATACGTCGTTGTCATTGGTCATTTCCATTAAAACAAAAAAATGAGCCAATCAGACAATTTTCTTTTATAAAATTTATCGTTCAGTTGTAAAAAATTTTATTATATTTGTTTATATTTTATTTTGTGAATTCTAAATCTTAAATAATATTGTGTACCATATTAAGATAGTAATAAATAGGTTTAAAAAGAATACTGTTGAATATCTATGATAGAAATATGTAAAAATATTAATTAAATTGTCCAATATATATTTAACATAATAAATCTATACAAACATTTATTTTTAAATTTTTTATTTATTGTACTCTTAGTTTCTACATATTTTAAAAATTAAAATATATATCATATAAAAGTGTTACAAATATGAGTATAAAAATTTGCACGGTCTTAATGCTTACTTTATCAATATGCATGCAATTATATGAATAAGTATATTTTAATTCCTTCGTTATTCACATCTATTGACGAAGCTAATTGAAATATATACTCTTTCCGCGCAGTTGGTTGTTAACAATTTAAAATTGTACTATTTATGTGAAATTTAATAAATTGTACATCTTATAAAAAACCGAAAAACCAAAAAAAAGGGTTAAATTGAAAATTAATAGCTTGTAATTATTTAGGAACTGGTAAATTAGCCACAGTCCTAATTCTGAAACTAACTTTTCCAATGTATACCTAGACAGTTCCTTGTACAATTCATATACAATGGTGATCAATTTGATAAGAAATTTTTATACATAAAGAAATATATATGACTACATATTAATATCAAGCTTTCTATGTGTAAATAAAATCTCTAATCCAAATTAGATTTTTTAGAAAATACGATATAATTATAAACACTGAGGGTTGTATACAAATTATACAATTTTTGTACTATCTTAATTACTAAATCTTCATTAGTAAAGATTTAAAATGAAAGTACCTTTACGGATTCATAAAAAAGAAACAATTCCAATCGTAAATTGTACCTCTGAAAATACAAAAAATTGCAATCCTATTCTCACACAGCTATACATAACGTACATACAACTTACACATAATTATATTTAATTAATTATATTTATTTAATTAATTTATTAATTACACGATTAATACGCATCATTGTGAGCAGAACTCTAAAGTTTCCAGTTTTTTCTCATATAAAAATATCGGAAAACGATTGAAGTTTACGATAAAATTACAATTTTTACAAATATAATATAATATGTAAATATATATTAAAATGTATTTATACATACATAACTATATTTCTATACTAATTTCTAAAATTGAACAAAAGTTTTTCGAATAAATTCAGGAAATTATTAGTCTTACAAAAATTCAGGACATATTTCACTTATATATACTAATATATAATTTACAATAACTCATATATGACTGTTGTTACGATAAAACTAATATGTATATGTATATATAGCGTAAAGCGGAACTTTAAAGTTGCTACTATTTTTACAAAACTAAATGTTCTTGCAATTTGTATAATTACATATTAACAAGTAATTTGCATAACTTACAATCATGACAATATAATACCATTCATGTATAAACGTAAATTCACAGATTCTGCTCTCTTAAAAGAGTTACTAATCAATTAGAACTTATATAATTACATAGTAATATATAATTAGCGTAATTTATATATAATTACAATTGTAATATGGTTAACAGCTCCATCATTAAATAGAATATTCTAGTAGAAAATGTTGCTCCATCTGTGGCACAACCTATGGCTAAGCAGCACAATATGTATGTACCGGTACAAAACTTAAATGAAAAGAATGTTTCTATAACTTTTGAATCGATATTAATCAGTAATCGTACATGATTATTTATTATTTTATGACTAGAAAAGTTAAACGAGTTGTAAAAATATTCACATAAATTTTGTATATTTAAAGTATTATATAATTAATAAAAACGTCACAAAATTGACGTTATGTTTGAAGTTACAAATTGTATACAGAATTTTAAAATAGACTGATTTCATGTACCAGTACACAGAATAGCTGCTAATGTAAACTTAAACTGCCAATGTAGAACTTTCCAAGTCAATTTCTTTTATTCATCACACCTGGAAGACTTCCATTAAATTTCCTGATTGTCTTCTCCAGTCTCATTATCTACAAACTCAACATGTGTGAATGGAAAATGGCCAACCTTGCCATGCAATTCACCTTCCCACTGACCATTTATATTAGTCTTTGTTACTTTTATCACATCTCCAACTTCTAATTTTAAAGCAGTTTTATCATATGCATTTGGTACCCTTGCTTGTTTCACTTTTGCAAAAGCAGGCAATGTTCTTTGAATATTTGATCTGCGGGTGGTCCCTTGTCCACTTTCTGGATAAGACATTTGACAAGCAGAAACCGAATTAGAATTTGTAGTTGAACTTCCGCCACTTTCTGGGCATGAATTATTCTCAATCACAGAGTGATTGTCTTCTTCATACTTCTGAACATATGGTACTGGAACTGAACCAGTTTGACCAAGGCTATTTCTAGCAGTCCACCATTGTTCTTCATCTTTTGATATAATTGTAAGAATTTCTCCTAAAAATAACATTATTGAATTTATACAGAATATAAAAACTTACAATTTTAAAAATTGCATTGCTTAATCAAATTATTAATTGCAATCAACTAAAAATATAAGAGACATTATATGTTAACCAGTCACTTTCAAAGTAATACTTAAAATATTTAAAATAAAAATTAAAACCTACGAACCTTTCCTAAACGGTAAATCATCAGGATCATTGCCTTCAAAATCATATTTTGCTATTACCCTCTGTGTCTTTTTAGATGCAGGCCTGATCAGTGGTGTTGTATCCAAATAATGTAATTTGTAAAAAGCCAAAAGGTTGGGAATATCAGGAAACGTTTGATCTCCAATCCGATAACGTATTTGATCACCCTGCTGAATTTTATTTATAATATAATGGCTAACCTTGTTGTCTTCTCGTACACATAGAACAAAATCTCCATGTATCGATGTGCTGTCACGAACTAAGAATACACCGCCTACTTTTTCACCCATGAGTAAATCCGAGGCATCTTGTCGTGACATTGCACCAAAATACCAACTAAAAAAGACACCACAATAAAAAGATAATTAATCCCACAAAAGATTCAAATTTAAGGTTCTGCACATCAAGTATCATAAATTTATAAAAACAAGCATACATATACATATTAGTAAATAAGAATACAATACAATATACATATCAACAACCAAAATATTAAAAAATACAAATATTACTTTAAATAACATTCGCTTATCTTAAATGCATCAAATTATTTATAATATAATTTTCATAAGAGGTTATTACAAATTTGTTCAACATCAGTTAAATAAAACTTTAAAGGTTAATCGTTGATGCAACATCATATTTATTACTTTATTAGACACTTTACTTTATTATCAATTGATTTCATGACGCATAACAGCAAGACCAAAATCATTTCTTTATTTACCTGTACTTGTCATATTGATTGAAAGCAGCAGCCATTGTTTTAGCAAGTAATCGGTATTAATTCCAGCAACAGGGCCTTGATGGCGCAACGAAGAGCGCCCCTGTCCGAGTCGGAGGAGGCCCGGGTTCAAGTCCCCTGAATACAGGTCCCCAAGTCCTCCCTCTCTCTTTCTCTGTAAATCCTGCAATATAAAAACATTGTTCTTAGAGTGTTTTCAAACATTAGGTTCTTTCAATGCAGCGTATTTAAAAAGCCATGTTTCTAAATCAAAAGAACATCCTTTAAGTTCATCCGTACATATAACATATATGATATATTATAATATATTTGAAAAACTTTCGTTCTCGACCTCGCCGATGAACTCGAGTAATAGAATCACTTGTCAATGGGTCTCGTGTGAAGTTGTGTATCTGTTTCAACAACTGCAAACATGTTTGAAGTAAAACCCTTACTTCTTCTAATTTCGTGTTCTTAGGCTTCACCTCACGTCGAATATCGTCAGTGGTACTCTTTTTGCCCAATTTGTCTACTGAGATTGCGCAAAAGTGCAACTTCCTTTCATGCGCGAACCAATAGCAGACGAATAATATTTCGAATTTGCACCTTCGTTAACGCTACAAACAGCATATTCCACTTAAATCTGTGACATAAAAACAGAAATAATAATGATCAGGCCGAAGTTTCTTGGATTGTGAGTATGTGGCGAGTAGAGTGGGAACTTCCGAGAATCTTGAGAAACTCGTCCCTAGCGCTTTCTGTCGTCTCAATGGAGGAACTAAAATCTTCCGTTTAAAAAAAATATATATGTATTTTGTTTCTTTCAATTTACCAATAGTATGTACAAAGATATCGATATATTTTTAAAAATAAAAATATCGCTTTTCTTTGATTTTTTTTTACAGAATATTAAAATGGTTAGGTTTAAAGAAATATTACTTGATTTTCTACAGATTTATTACACTCTTCCCCTCCTTGCATTCAATTTTTTTTATGAAACTGATATTATTTTCCTAAAATATTCCTTCCTAAATGTTCCCTTTATCCTATGAACTGCACTGATACACGTTGTGTAAAGTACAACGAGAAGTAAAACGCATTATTAACATAATTCTGAAAAATGATGACTCATATTGTACAGCAAATTTATCGAGCTAACTGCGTGATTAATGCTGCGCACATTTCGAAGAATTCCATTGTATGATGACCTGTCGCTTGAGGTGGTGGAAGTGTAGGATCTAAAACAGTTATATTTACAATAAAATATATTGAGATAAATCATCAATTAAAAATCATTAGCGTTGACTCAAATTCTTCACCTCGTCCAATATCTTCTTCTTCATTTGATAAAGATTTAAAATCCAATAAATAACTTTTGTAATCAACTTGATAAAGTTGTAACGACATCTTACTATATCTATCTGTTAATTCACTCTTTTGGCGTACTCTAACGCTGTAAGCATTTATGATTTTCCATTCCTAAAAATATATATGTATTATTATATATATTAAATTTGTTATTTTATAGATTAGTTTATAAGAAAAGTCTTACGAAATTGAGAGCTTTCATAGCTCGATAGACTTCATTCATAATGTCGTTTGGTTTAGACTGTGAACGGATTCCTAAATGCCATTTAGCCCGTTTTACTGGCGTACCACGAGCGCCTTGTATCGAGGACGATGTACTTCCTTGAGAACTTTGTCTTTCTCGAAACGCTGACATGTACAAAAAGTATATCAAATATCGTTTTCATAAACTCTATGATGAAAACAATAACAAATTTTTTAAATTCTAAAGATACAGCATTAGTTTATCTTCTTACGTGCTATTCTCTCTGGATGTGGTCTCAAAGGACTGCTACTGGTATCATTGGGGCTAAAAGCAACAGGGGGTGGACTAGAAGCTACATAGAAATCTTTTAATTCAGCTTTAGCAGCCTCGTCTGCAATTCTTTTATTATCTATTATTAAGTGATAGGCAATTGCCAGTTGATCGTGAGGATCTCCACCTAATAATGCAGAATGGACTTCTGCTTCTTTCACATTGAATTTTTCGCAAACTTCGTTTACTGCGTCTATATCAATTACAGAAGCGTCTTGTTCAACAGGCGACGGGAATAAATATGAAGGTAAATCCTTCTGGAACCATTCGTGTTTCCTAAATTAAAAATATTTGTAATTATTTCAAACTGTATCAAAGAAATGTTTAAAATTTTTTAATTTATAAGTAATGCATAATACATATAATAAAAATTGAATATACTTGATATCTTCAATGGTTGCTCTTTTCATAGGATCCACTTGTAACATGTGACATAAAAGACTTACAACACTTTTATTCAGGTACTCTGGGATGGGAAAAACTCCAGCTGAAACAAATATTTGAAATTTTATATGAATCATTAAAATCAAAGGTTATACAGATTGTTATTACTTACATTTAATTTTACGGAAAAGTGTTGGTACATGTTCATCATCAAATGGTAAAGTGCCACAAAGTAAAGCATAAAGTATTATTCCACAAGACCATATATCGACTTCAGGACCAGCATATAATTTACCAGAAATTACTTCTGGCGCTGCATAATTAGGGGAGCCACAAGAAGTACGTAAAAATTCTCCATCCATCATCATGTTTGACAAACCTATAATTTGATAAATTATTAGATTATTTGAATAATATCATTCAATCAATAAACTTTGTTAGTAAGATCTTGACTATATCCAAATACCAAAATCTGCTATTTTTACATGTAGATTGTGATCTAACAATAGATTCTCTGGCTTTAAGTCACGATGAACTATCATATGCCTGTGACAATAATCAACACCAGAAATAATCTGTTGGAAGAATCTTCGTGCCTCATATTCCTTTAGTTTGCCATGTTTTACAATATAGTCAAACAACTCTCCACCTGATACATATTCCATTATCATAAATATATCGGTGGGTGAGCTTATAACTTGATATCTAAATTGTAACAAAAAATTGATATATTCTATATTAATTGATATTTTATAGAGCATGCTACTATTACTTACAATTTAATAATGTGAGGATGTCTGAAAAGTTTCAGATTTTGTATCTCTCTTCTAATCTTTCCAACCACATCTAAACTTTTAATTTTCTGACGATTCAAAATTTTCACAGCAACTTTATGTTTTGTTAAGACATGTTCTCCAACTATGAAAAACATGAATTATAAGCATTTTGTATGCTGTGGTATTACTTAATATAAAAAGTAATAAAAGCAATAAAAGTAATAAAGGTTTATTTATAGAAGATTTACGTACTTTTTACTTTACCAAATGTCCCAACACCTAATGTTTGACCAAGTGTATAATGGCCAATCTTAACAATTGGCTGTGGTTGATTAGATGGAATTTTCTCAGACATTGTTGTTAGTTCTATAATATGTAACAAACATCACCAGTCAAATACAAAATATAATGTTAATAAAATTAGATTAGTTAGACTAAATGTGAATTCTTACAATGACAATAACTTTAAGCAAAATACAATCATAAGTTGCAGCTCAAAAATATATAAATTTATGTAGAAACAATGAAGTTAAAATGTCGATAATTACTGGCGCTTTATTACAATTGCTTATTTACATTACACAAATCCAAGAAATTGTTTAACATTTAATGCAAGGTCAAATAGAATGCTAAATTACCAGCATTAAGATGTGATAGGAATAAAATAGCTACATTGAGAAATATGAAGATAAAAATACGTAAAATAATAAAATAAACTCTGTCATAAATATTATAAATTAGATGATTAACTTTAATCACCTGATATTATTTACATGTTCTGACACATTATTTCGAAGATACCACTACACAGACATTTAACAGGATATGTTAAATCATTTATCACAAAATTCAAAGATTAGAAAGCTAGTGATAAATTTTATATTGATATTTTTGATTCATAGGAAAATTGAGCCTTCATAATGCTAAAATATCTTATGTTCAGTAAGTATACGTATATAGCGCTATCACGAATTAATCTGGCGGCATATATAAAATTTCTTTTCAAATCTGTTATACGAAATATATAGAGTATATAAATAATTTTTTAAATTTATTACCCAATTGTTTAACCACATAAAAGATATTTTAATTTGATTCATTTTTAAATATGCATATGAATGACATTATACAATTTTTCAAATATATTTCTTAATTTTTTAATTATACCAAAAGATCATTTCAATTTCATTTATTTTTAAACTTTAATTTTATATTTCTTTTTTTATTTTATAATTAATTTATCGAAAATAAAAGTTAATATTTACTTTAATAGAGATAGTCATTATTGTGAATAATTATTGTTTATGCAATTATAGTTGTCAATTTTAGGAATTAATATATTAATTAATGCTGTTACTTTATTCGAACATCATGTTTCTCTTTTTAACAAGACTCGAGGTTGGATTTTAGAACCGCCTAAGAGATAATATTGATCTTTGTACTCTTTATTTTATTTCGAAGTAAAATTTACCAATCACGTTATCATTAAAATGTCAGAAAACGAGATAAGCCTTCTTAAATATTTTCTAAGTGGAGGATTCGGCGGAATATGCACCATCGTGGTGGGTCATCCCCTAGACACGATAAAAGTAAGGTTACATTAATTAATATAAAAAATAATGAATTATTTATATAACAACAACAATGTTTATAAACAATAACAAATTATAGTAATAAATATGTATATAAACAAAGCAGTATAAATTTTATAATTTGTACAAATAAAACAAACATTTGTTTTCATTGTTGAAGTGTAACAGAATTTGATATATAAAACATTCAAGTAGAAAGTATAATTTCTTAAATCATTTTTAACTTGCTAATATTTTTTATAACATTAAAAAATTGAATTAAAATACATTTTAAAAATTTTTGTATATAATAAAGTATAAATAGAAATTTGGGGTAGAATAGTTATTCTATAAAATTAAATGTAAAAGATAATCCCCCAATTTTTCAGCTGTACCTAGTCTAATTATAAGTAGGATTATTAAATCCTACTTAGGAATAAACTGTTTTTCTCTGAAGAGGACTGGCTCGATATGTTAGGTAAAAGAAACACAATATGTGCCGATTAGATTTTGTATATACCTTTTTATTTAAGAATCTACTTTTTTATTGTCTTCTTTTTATTTTTTGTCCTTCTATTCTTTTAAATTTTTATGTTAATCAATTATCTATGATTATCATTGTGGTTCATTATTTTAAATATTTTATATTTTGATAAAGACATAAAATATTTTCATATATAATAAAAAAATTAGGATCCATGGGAATTATTGTAATCTTTTTATTGTGATGAAAAATAATTAAATTAAAAGAGAAGGTATATGGTTCAATTATATTATACCAAAAATAAATAATTAATGAAATTAATGTTTTCCATACATTCTTTCTATTTATCAAAATTGCTTGTATTGACATTTTTTTGTTTTCCTTTCAATTATTGTTAATAGTATTCTATACCAAAGTAAGTGTTTGGAAGGGACATTATTGTTAATAGGTCCGCCTTCAAACTATGCCCCTACCAAGTCCAAATGAAGCAGTATTGTATAATGGAACAATTGATTGTGCTAAGAAAACAATCACGAGAGAAGGAATACGTGGACTATATAAGGGTTGGTAGATAGTTTGTACCTTAAACATGTATAAATATATCCTATTAATTCTTTCTTCTTATTAAAAAATATTTGCTCATTAGATTATCTACAACATTTTTCTTTTAGGTATGGGTGCACCTTTATGTGGTGTAGCTCCAATATTTGCCATAAGTTTTTATGGATTTGGACTTGGCAAGCAATTGATAAAGAGATCTGACAATGTTGAACTGTCTCCTTTGCAACTATTCTATGCTGGTGCTTTTAGTGGCATCTTTACAACTGTTATAATGGCTCCTGGTGAAAGAATAAAATGTCTTTTACAAATACAACAGGGTGATGCAAAACCCAGATATAATGGCCCTATTGATTGTACAAAGCAACTTTATAAGAACGGAGGAATTAGGAATATTTTTAAAGGTACCTGTGCTACGCTTTTGAGAGGTATGTAATATCAAAAATGTTCTTTTTTATTTTATTTTTATAATAATTTAAATATAGAGACTATGAAATTGTCAATTGCTACTCTTTTTTATTGTGAATTTCCTTAAGTCTTATATATCTAGCTTATATCTATACACAGTGTTATTATACAACTATGATAAATTTAGAAAGCAGAATTATCTTATAAAGACGAAAAATTGAACTGTCTAATTTTGTTTCTTGTTTTTTATACACATATATTAATAGTAAATTAAAAACATATATTAGCTAACTGATGATATTATCTTCATAATTATTTCTTCCCAATGTAGACTTCTTTAAATACCTTCTCCTCAAGGTTCTACATTGCAAACCACCTTTGCGTAATGCATGAAAAACTCCCCAATTTTTCAGCTTCTTGGGAGTTGAGCATCTTGGTGCTATTTCTCGTAACCTGTTTACCTTTTTTTTCAATCAAATTATAATTATTGTGTGGTTAAAAATAGCTTTAAACAATAGCTTCTTTATACTTACCAAGTAAGGATTCCATGTAATCATCGAACAAGTACAATCCCATGGATTGCTATCTAATCTTACAATTGAAAATTGTGGTGGTTTATTTGGAATCCGAAGCATTTTGAAAAAGTCTATAGGTAGTGATGTCAGCTTATTCTTTGAAAGGATAATTTCTTTAAGTTGCTTCTGTTGTTGCACTCCAAATAAACCAGGTGGAATATATTCTAATTCATTATTTGATAGATCTATACGTTTAACATTTTGCAAACCATAAAATGCATCCATAGATATTTTACGAATATGACAAGAACTTAAATCAAGATCTACTAATTTGATTAAATCCACAAAAGCATCAAGATCGATACTTGAAATATTTCCACGAGCTCTTAATTTTAACAGCTCTGGCATTCCTTGAAATACAAAACGTTCCAACATTGGTATTTCTAAATTATACAGATATAAGGCTCGAAGCCGACATAATCCTAAGAAAGAATTTTTTTGTAGATATAATTTTGAATCTTCACCTCCCAAATAAAGTTCTAATGTTGTATTCATGATTTCAAAAGTACTGAAATCAGAAGATATTTATATTAATTTCACATCTTATTATCATAAAAATATGTATGTAATTAAAATACCTTGGGAATATAGAATCCAAAGGATTCTTCCGAAAATCTGCAATCTTCAACATTGGGAAAGGGGGAAAAGATAGTTCTGATAAAAAAGTTAGATTATTCCCTCTTAAATCAAGATCTTCTAGCATCAATAAGCCAGCTAAATCTACACTCTTAAGTGTTAACAACTGATTACTTGCAAGTGACAATACTTTTAAATTTGGGGTGCCATAAAAACAAAATTCTGGGATGAACTTCAAACTATTTTTTTCTAGTGAGAGATGAACAAGATTATTCAAACCATCAAACATATGCCATGTTATATCTTTTAAATCACAATCATAAACTCTTAAGTGAGTTAAAGCTCCTAAACCAGTAAAAAGTCCAACAGTTTCTTGATAACCTTCCATTTCTTGTTTGTACACATCATAAGGAAGTATTTCCTTGTCATCGCTTTCTCCACTATTTTGTTGACTTAAAAATATCAGTCTGTGCCCTGTACTTTGGCTGATGTTATTTAGTAATTGTTTGTTATTATTTTCATCATTGGTAACTGTATTCATTGGTTTAACCACAAGATTAGCTTTATTTTTTTTCATTGGACTTAGGCTTGTCAATCTGACTCGTTCTAAATTTAGGTAAAGAAGATTTAATCCTAATGGATACAATGAATCAACTGATAAAATGATTCCTCCTTGTTTTCCTTGTTTAACATTCGAGCTTTTTTTTACAGATTCATAATCTATTCCTTGAATGTCTAAAGATATTAAATCTGTAAAACGTTGAAATGTTGTAGACTGTAGAAGAATCTCGAAGTTTCCCATACCAGATTCAAGAATTGTAAACACCTAAGACAAAGATACGTTATTTTCGAATAGCAAAAAATTACACTGTTCAATTCTGTAACACCAACCTGAATGTCTGATGGGAGTTTATCCAATAGTTCTTCATAATCTTCGGCAACAGCGCAAATTGCAACATTTAAAAATTCGGGTATCATAGAGTGGTCCATGTTCAATCCAAATTCGAAATTGCATTCGTTAGTCAAGTTCTGTTGAGAAAAAAGATTATTAAATGTCAAAAAGAAAGTTAGCTAGTTTTCATACCTGATCTTGACTCGTTTTGATCCATCGATGCAAAGGTAAATCAATAAATTTCTGTACCTCACATGAACAGCCTGGTGGACATTTTACCTCCCAAACATCGCCAATATCGATTATTTGTCCAAAGCACTCATTCTAAACATACATTTATTTATTAATTTATCATTCAGCTAAATATACATGCAAAATCACTCTTAAGAATCTCTATGTTACAATGAGAAATTACTAAATTTAAAAATATTATGAGAAAAATAATCTTTTTCTCTTACACTTCTTCATATTAAATAAAGAAAAGAGTTATATACCAGCAAAGTGAGGACAAGTATTAGAATAACCATCATAATTAGAATAAAATTTGAGTGTTGAAGAAAAGCAGATCTTAAAACCAATGATGGTACGCTGGTTTGAAGGAAACTGAATTTTGTTAATTGTTATCTATCTGCCTTGATGAGCCCTATCAAACAGGATGTTTCCTATCTAGCAACCTACACACACTATTCTTGCCTTATAATTATAAATAACGTTTCCACATAATGCTTTAATTATATACATTCAGGTGAAACTTGATCTTCCTTCAATCTCATAAATATCTTTTATAATATGTTTATTACTTGTTTACATGTAAAATTGTCTGAATCTGTAAGCTTTTATCTTATAAAGTCTTCCATACAGGTAATTTATATATCTTCTTAATCATTTTTTAAATTTAACATTTAGATGTTCCTGCTAGTGGAATGTACTTTATGACATATGAGTGTCTCAAAAAGTGGATGTCCTCTGAAGACGGCAAAACAGGAATATTACAAACAATTGTTGCTGGTGGTTTTGCTGGTATAGCAAATTGGATTGTTGGAATGCCACCTGATGTATTAAAAAGTCGTTTACAAAGTGGTATTTATTATAAATTTATTACAATTTATTATTAAATTCTAAGCAATGTTCACAAATCTGACTAACAACAAATTATGGAAGATATTAATTGAAGTTTTACATATCTTATTTAGCCCCAGATGGTACTTACAAAAACGGAATTCGGGACGTGTTCGTAGTTTTAATGAAAGAAGAGGGACCAAAAGCATTGTATAAAGGATGTGTACCAGTGATGCTTCGTGCATTTCCGGCAAATGCAGCATGTTTCCTTGGGTTTGAAGTTGCTATAAAGTTCTTGAATTGGCTACTACCTAATGCATAATTTAAAATTGTATAAAATATCTGCAGATAGTATTCCTACCACTGATATATGTTGAATTGATAATATATTCGTAAAGTATTCTATCTTTAATGAAAGATACAATAATATATTTTTTTATAATAGCATTCACTTAATGATTTTATGATGAATTTGCAATGAACTGTTAATCTATTTTATCTTAGTCATTAATGCTATTATATAAGTTATTTTTTAAATATAGCTTATACACAATGTAATAATCTTTATCATCTTTTTATATTGTTGAATTTCTATTTTGTAATGTTTAATATATATTTTTATATGGGTAAATAAACAACGGATTTGAAGAATCAATTTTAATTTTGATCATCTTCTTTTCAATCTATTTACATATTAAAGATACAAATTTTCAAATAATAGTTTCGTTTCATAAGAATTTAAAAAATCCGCGGAAGTAAACCATTTTTTTTATTACTGAGTAAGATTTTAAATTTCTCACCTTTAAGTAAAGTAAGAAATGATTGTTTATGTTTATTTAATGATCATACAAATTCTGTTTGATGTTTGCTTAAGTTAAGTTTACTACCGTATTATTTGTCAGAAAATTGTAATTCTTATCTTATCCTGCCCATTGAATTGGAATTTACAAACTGGAAATTTTGAAGGGTTCCTAAACCTATCAGTACATTAACTTTTTATCACTATAGCAAGAGAATTTTTTTAAGTTGTAATAAAGCTTCATATTGTTTATAAAGATGATATTAAAATCTGTTATATTAATTGGAGGCCCGTCAAAAGGTCTGTGTTTCGCATAAATGAATATTTCTAACATAGTTGTTATAAGCAGTATAAAAATATAACCTCAAATATGATTTTACTCATTTTTTACAGCATTGAATTAAATAATAAGTAAAAGAGAGTAATCCACAGGATATTTTAAATTCAAAAATATATTTTTTAGGTACTAGATTTAGGCCTCTTTCGTTAGATATACCAAAACCATTATTTCCTGTTGCTGGATTACCTGTAATACAGCACCATATAGAAGCATGTTCTAAAGTGGACAATCTTAGTGAAATATTAATAATTGGATCATACCTTGCAAGTGATCTGTCTCAATTTATTCAGGAAATGATAAGCATATATAAAATAAGCATTAGGTATCTTCAAGAATTCATTCCATTAGGAACAGCTGGTGGCTTATATCACTTTCGTGATCAAATACGTTCTGGTGGACCTACATATTTTTTTGTAATGAATGGTGATGTATGTGCTGACTTTTCTTTGCAAGAAATAGTAGATTATCATAAAGAGAAACAAGCATTGCTTACTATCATGGCCACTGAAGCAACTAGACAGCAATCATTGAATTTTGGATGTATGGTTCTTGACAAAGAAGGAAAGGTTGCTCATTATGTAGAGAAGCCATCGACATTTGTTTCCACTTTAATCAATTGTGGAATCTATCTTGCTTCCTTAGATATCTTTCAAACCATGGCCGATGTCTTTTATGCAAGACAAAATCAGGAAAGTTTTACGTAAGACACCTCAGAAGATTTTTTGGAAAGTTTTTTGTATTTAAGAATTTTGACTAAATACTGCTACTTTATAGGCAATTCAATGGTAATGGTAAAGATCCAGCTCATATATCACTAGAACAAGACATATTAATGCGTTTAGCTGGAACTGGTCGTTTATTTGCTTTACCTGTTCTAAAATGGTGGTCACAAGTTAAGACTGCAGGTTCTGCTATATATGCCAATCGTCACTATTTAGCTTTGTATAAAGCAAAACATCCAGACCGTCTTGCTTCTACAGTTAATGGAACTTTTCAGATTATTGGTGATATCTATATTCATCCTTCTGCTACTGTTCACGAAACAGCAGTGGTAAAAAACTCTTATAGATATTTGGTTCTTATAAAATCATAAAACATTAATTAAATATAAATTTCATGAAATATTTGATTTGTAGCTAGGTCCAAATGTAAGCATAGGCCCAAATGCTGTCATTGCCCGTGGTGTTAGAATAAGGGAGTCAATTATATTAGCCAATGCTCATATTCAGGCACATTCTATTGTATTGCACAGTATCGTTGGGAAAAGCAGCTATGTGGGAGAGTGGGCAAGGATAGAAGGAACACCATGTGATCCTAATCCTGACAAACCATTTGCGAAAATGGAAAACTTGCCCTTGTTTAACACGAATGGAAAATTGAATCCTTCTATAACAATCCTCGGTAAATAGTCTATTCATTGATTATTTACACAAGAAGATGAGTATGTATATATTTTTACTATTTATATTTTAGGCACGAGCGTACGTTTGGCGGCAGAGAAAATAGTGTTAAATTCGATTGTCTTACCGCACAAAGAACTGACTAGGAACTTTAAAAATGAAATTATTCTATAAGGTATATGCATACAATGCAAATCACAATATTTAAGAAAATATATCTCTGTTAACTAATTTATATGTGCAATATTTCGTTAACTTCTATTGTATGTTTGAAATTGCCAATTTATAAAATAGTGACTTTAATATAAAATCAGTTTTCTAAGAAACTGATACTGATGCACAATATACAGATTTATATAAGGTATTTATATGGATATAAATATTTTCTAATGATTTTGTTACACACAATTGTTAGTTTATATATTAATATATATAACGATATACCATGTACAATATGAAGAAAATAGACATTTTCGACACTTGTATATCCATTTTTCCATTTGTATTTCTGACTTATATTTGTAAACTCAACACCTTAATCACTAATAAGTTAATAATTAGTGAAGAATATTTTTTGTTAATTCGTTCTTTACCAAGAAAAAGGCTGAAATAATTTAAACAATAGTTTACGATAATTGTATAATTTAAATACATATCTATCTATTTTTTAATATAAAATAAATATAATGAGTTCAAATATCTTATCTGTTTATATAATCCATTGCATCAAAAAGTACCATATTTATAAAGTAATTAACATTATGAAGAGTTTAAACTATATATTTTCTTCCAGAATACAAGAGAATTAATAATTTATTGAAAAAGAAATTGTATGTTATGTAAAAAATATCAAAACTTTTCAGATCGTATGTATTTACTTAGATCGTAAAAATAAACACATACTCGGTTGTTTGACATGCTTTTTTGTACATAGTTGTATCATCATTTACAAGGAACAAATGTAACAGTATTAGCCTATGAAGTTTATAGAGTATATAAAAGTCTATGAAGTCTATATTCACTCCTCTTTTATGTACAATTCTTATGGTTAGCATCTAACCCTTAGAAATGTTAATCTGAACATCATAAGAATGTTAAAAAATACGCGCATAAGAAATTAATAATTTTATAAAAATAGATCATGTACAGTCTTCTTGTTTCAAACCTTCAATTAGCTATTATACAATTCCTAAAATACTATGAATAAAAACAGAAGCTTCAAAGCTTCGTTTCATGTTTAACCCTGTTTCTGAACAATTGACTTGGTCGAAGTAGTCCTTGAGAATTATTTAAATAAGAATTTCCAGACATGATAACGGTTGCTGAAGAATCTGGATTTAAAAATTCATTTTTATTATTATCCTCAAACGCAAATCGTTGCTGTTGCTGCTGTTGCGTTTCATTATGATTGTTGGACTCATGATTATTTTTCATGCGATAGTGTACTTCAGAATCCGTCTCTTCTTCATTATCCGCACTATCTACATCTCCTGGAAAGATATTAGATAAATACACATAAGAGTAAATGCATTTCATAAAACTGAATTCAAACAAATTTAAGCAGAACGCACCATCGGAACTATTAGTAGAAGGTAAGTAAAAACGTGAGGCTGGAACTTTGTTATTTCCTACACGTCGTTCTCGTTCTCTGGCAGTATTGTTTGGGTGATGATACTTAAATTCACGTGGTAGAGTATAGCTTCGGGGCAATGATACTTGACTACCTTCCATATCGCTAAGATCTCCTTCTACCTCTCCCTCGCCTTTAGAACTTTCCTCTCCACCATTTTGACTGAAACGTAGAATATATTATAATATATGTTATAACTAATATATACTATTTAATAATATTTTAATCTTTAATTACCGATGATTAACATGAGTAGACGGTGTCCAATGGGAATAATGATGAGGAAGACAGCGCGGTGCGAGTAAAATTTCTGGAGTGTCCGCTCTTTCTCTTTGCGTTGTTCTCCATGAATTCGAAGGATGAATGTTTGGGTAATAGGAAGATGATGGTGGTGGAGGTAAAAGACAGTGCATTTTCACTGGTGGCCACGAAGATAAGGCTAGTCCTCCATTTTGATCACCTACTGATGGCTCAGATGTGAATAAAGGAGAACTGGGGGAAGTATGTAATTTTGTATTAGGTGGTGGTTGCTGATTTGATGCAGGCGATGACGAAAATGATGATGCTGAAGCTGATGGCGGAGGAAATAACTTTCCTTCTTTTATTTCTTCTTGAATTGCTCTTAATTCTCGCAACTGCTGCTGTTTCTTCTCTTGAAGTTTCTCTCTTATTAAATTTACACTTAGAGAGCCAGCAGTTGCAGCATCCATTCCAATTTTTTGCTCATTTGAATGATCATTCTGTATCATGCCGGAATTCACAGATTTCTTCCAAAACGGTATTAATTGACGTGAATTATTATTCACGCCAAGCCATTGTTTTGATTCAGTCACTGTGTTCATGGAAGTTGTGACAGTTCCAGTTTCAGACTGTGGTGGTGGAGGAGGTACGAATGTTGTTGGTTTTTTCTTTTTTCGATTTGGATTTACTGCAGCTGGATTCGTAAAACGACAATTAAATACTCCTGGTATTCCACCATTACTCAACTTAACTTTCCTTACTCCTACATTCATATTTAATTTTTTATCTTCTGTATATTCTATTTGTTTTTCTTCCAGATTATCCTACATACACAATTCCTTTATTAGAGATATATTTACTATATTGCCCTTAAAAATTTGGTTTTAATTTGTAATACCTGGTTTGACAAAGCCGTGAGATTCGAAGCTGTCATTCTGCCACCTGCTTCATACCTTAATCTCCGTACATGAAAAAATCTATAGTTCCATGTAAAGTCATTAACAATTACTATCATTAAATAATATCTATCTTTGCAAAATGAATTGATAAAATTGAACTTATACCTACCTATAATAGAGCCCCATGAAAAACATACCACCAAAAAATAAGGCTAATAGTGTAAGTACTAAAGTTACAGGGTTTGGATGATGTTGGTGTGGAAGAAGATCTGTTCTATTAACACCAACTATCCATACACCAATGAGTAAACTATTCTCCAAAAACATTACTGTGTAAAAAATTACCTAAAAGAATATAAATGAATTGAATACACTTGATTTAATTAACTTTAAATATTAGTATTAAGGAAGCAACATACATCAACAACTCACCATTTTTTGACGATGATTTGTTTCGTGTAAATTTACATACGCAAATATATAAACAAATGCAAGGAGTGAAGCTAAAGACGTTTTTCTTAAAATAGGCAAATGTTCGCCACCGTGAAAAAGACCATCTGGCGTGAGTAGCAACCACATCAACATTGATAGCCAGTGGAGAGCCATGACAATTAGCAACCACTGTCCACCATAAAGTGAAGCATAAGCTACCAATACTCCTACTCTAGCGCTTACAGTTCCTAAACGCCAAGCTAGTTGTGCCAGCACACCTAGCCATGTCAATACCAAACGTTCTAAATTACGAAGACGTGCTGCACCTTTGCTAAAACTAGCAACTGCCCAACATACACTCCACAAAGATAGACCAGCAGATACTGCAGTTAATTTTGCTAACTTATCACTGTCTCTGTCAGTTTCCTTTGTTTTTTCAACATCTGTATTTGAATCATTATTGACTCCAATAGACAAGAGATATAACTGCAGAAGTAACATTGGTGCAGCTTCACAGAAGGCATGAATAAGGCGTAATACACAAAGTTCTCTAACCTAATGATGTAAAATCATTAATTTCAGATAAATTATTTTAATATATACACAAGCTATTTTTTCTTGCACCTCACCTCATGTTTAACATAAGTTAAATTAACTGGAATAAATAATTTGAAGTATCTCCATAATACTCCAACTTGAGTTGAATGAAGCAATAAAACACACCATATTGTCCAATTCCCATTTTCTTTCTTTCCATTGATATTGCAATCTGCTATATTGTTACCAGTTAGTTTGCCTCTGGCTCCCCACAAATACCATCTTACACTAATAATCTGAAATTAATAAAGAATATATTAGTTATGACAAATAGAAATTTTTCATTGCTTTATATGGATACTGACCTGAGAAATAATTAACGAAGTTGCTATAAGAACAATACTTAAGGGAAAGAGAATTGGAGGAGCTACAGAATGTTGGGCAAGAGCATATACCATTGCAAAGTCAAAAACAACGTCACAAAAATATGATGCAAGGGAGATTATGTTGAATAATACATCACACAATGGTAAAAATTCGTGTTGATGCTGTGTCTGCAGATGCTGGGCCATAATGGGCTTTTGTTATCCATTTGGATTATCCAGCACCTTTTCTTCTTGTCAACCTATGCCACACATTCCACAATATAGCAATTGTCTCATACAGTGGATGAAGAAAGCTAACTGAAATACAAATTGTTAATAAATAACCTATTTATTTTAATATTCAATATAATATGATATATGAATATTACACAAAAATCTTAAACTAATAGAATACCAAATATAATTCAAAAAGATTTTATTTAAAAATTAAAAAATTGCTTTATATACATATTTTTACTATAAAAATAATTTTTATAGCATATTGCTCTGTAATTGATACATATGAATTCAAATAAATAAATTTGTCTGTCTATCACTAATTGATAATATTACAAATCACATTTTTAACTATTCACATGTGACAACGTCGGAAAACTACAAGTATAAATTTAAAATAAAAACTGGAGTAGACAATAAAATATTGTAATAAGAAACTGACAATAATATTCAAAAAGTTGGAAAATGAAAAATCAATTTTTTACAAACTGGTATGTTTGATTAAAATGTGTCAGTTGTTTAATAGGAAGAAAGAAAATAGAAATCTTAATAGTCTGGAATAAAAATATTAATATAATGAAAATATAAAATTAAAAAATATTGTGAAGCGTAGGAGGAAGCAAATTGCCTTACCACATTCCTCAGATGTCACCGAATGAGTAATCACAAAAGTAACATTCTCATCTAGATGCTGGGCTCGCAGGAGCTTGGACCAGCGTTGGAATGCGAGGAATTTATCTGTATACTTCGCGGACGCTTTCAAAAATAAAACTTTTCCTCACCGACTATCCACGATCTGCGTTGCTTTTTGATTGTGTTGGTACATTTTCCGGCGATTCACGTTTAAGAAGGCCGCTTATTTTATTTCAAACAAACTTTAGTTCAATCTACCTGTTGATTCAAGAGACAACTATATATAGATTACTATATAACAATGTAATAAAGTAACATTGCACTTATCGTTGCTCCACTAACTCTAAAACCCAAGATTGTCGACCAAGTAGTCAGGAATTCCAAGCAGTGGTTCTCATCGACAACTTTGCGTAAAATGATTAATCAATCTCTCACATTCTTCGTCAGTGGTTCTCATATTTTTATTATTTCATTTCATTTCTGCAACTATATTGTTAATATAACGAAAATAATATTATAAATAAAATGTATATAAACAATATATTTATAATTCTGATAATCTAGATTTTATAACTATTTTCGTATAAAATAGACCGCTATTAAAGCAGTATTATGTGTACATATTTAAAAATTTAAAAATATTGGAAAATATGGACATTGATGTTAACACGCATTTATTTCCATGACTTCTTTTAGTATTTTTCGAAGAATGTGACTATAATCGTATAAATAATTTCTCCTAGTGTCTTTATACAATGAAAAACTATCTATATAACTTCGAAATTGATAATTATTTATTTAAGTCATTGTAGATCTTTATATAAATAGATCTTTCTCGTAAATTGGATTCCAGTGATTTGGAGATTGATTAAAAATTGCGAATACAAAAATGTCCAGAAATTGAATTTTCCTTCCATTACATTTCATATTTTTTTACATATACACTATCAAATTTTATAAAATTGTCTTCCCTAAAAAAGGCCACTTTTTCTAAGGTCATTAAGTTTTTAGTTTGGTCAAATATTCACTATTACGTAAATTAATAATTGTATTTAAAATCGCACTTCTTATTTTCTCATTGAATTAAATTTACAATTAATAAGTGAAAGATGACGATTAAATTATAGAAAGTTATTTTGTTATAATAATTATATTAATAAATAATGCTTATTACGTATATTCCATCGTAATAAATGATCCATTTTTAACTATAAAGGTTGAAAAACGAATTACATTTTATTTTTCTCAAAATATCACACAAACATTCGGACGCACAACAATCTAAAAATCATATCAAACATTAAAGTTATAATAGATTTAGGAATATCCAAATTTTTATACTTTTACCATACATTTTTATAACCGCTCTTTTTTCTAAATTAGTACAAAATGAATACAATATTTTAATTGGTAGTGTTATTAGGATGTACATAATATTCCTAAATCTATACAAGTTTCCAAGTTAAAGGAATAAGTATGTGCCATGGTGCAATTTAATATTATAAAAAACATGAACTCTATAAGTACATATACATTAATGCCGACGTATTTAAAGAAAATCTCTTGCACATCTCATTCATTTGCAATATGATAAAAACTTTGCTTAGAGAAACAGATCTTTTACATTATAAAATTATTTTCACAGTTAAAACTAACATAAAAAGACATTCATACGGAAATGAAATGCCGATTTGTAAAATCAGTCTTACAGTTCAAAAATCAGATTGAAGATATATATACATATATATATCTCTCTATACTCATACGGGGATAGGAATACTTTAAGCATACTGAAATAAAAAGAGAAAACAGCAACAGTAATATATGTACAAAGAAGAAAATATTGAGTATCCTCCGTGGAAATGCTTGAATTTTTATACGTATAAATATCTGGCAGCTTATTAAAAAATGACAGTACATATTCTCTCGAATGTGCTAAAAAAACAATACATTCAGGTAAATTAATGCAGTGCTTCTTAATACCTAAAAATGCTTGGACAACTCATGATTGAGTTCGCACTTTATGAAAAAAATATTCTCAAAAAAGGCAAAAAAATAATAAATAATTATCTTTTACTCTCAAATCTCACATATGAGGTTAAATACAGGTTTATGATTTCAGAATTAAAATGTCACGCTGTACTCATCTGGTTTATACAATAACTAATACTAGTTTCTTTAAAGATAATGTAAATCATAGAATTGGAAAACAGAATATGCTGTTTTGATCGCAAAAATAGCTATTCTTAAAAAAAAAGAAGAAAAAGAAAAAGAACGAAAAGGAACTAAAAGAATAATTTTCTTTATACTTTTTTGATGTGAATCTAGACCTCTGAATTACTATCAGTTATTTTGCATTTACAATTTAATAAGAAAAATAAGTAACGTGCATTATTTTCACGCTTCTATTATTATTCTATTATTATAAAATTATTATGATATGATTGAGTATTTCAATCATTATATCAATAAATTGTAATAAAATATCTTAACGATTTTCGTTCAATTTTTCGTAAAACATAATAACGCTTATTATATAAAAATTATTATAAAAAAGAGATAAATAAAAAATAGCAATTTAAAATTTTATTTTTTCACTTTTCAAAATCAAGAAGAGATATGTCTTTCTGAAAAGCTCGTAAAGCAAGATCATTCGAGTACAGCACATCTCAAGTATAGTCGAAATCTTGGAATGACCATCAAATATATAATTCCAAAAGAAAAAAAGGAGAAAAAAAGAATTCAATCGACTCGACCATAAGATGGAACTATGTCTTTTGCTATCCAGAAGTCGCAATTAGGATAGTCACGTTCAGGAAGTGTATCTTGTCCAACAATTAAGACTCGTTTTACACCATTAGCATCTGCCTGAGCTACCTCGCCATGCCAAACATAGTGATTGAAAAGCTGCTGCATAGCAGATACGTGTCTTTTTTCAGCAGGAGTACGAGCAGCATATGATCCGAGTATCGCTGCAGCATCACAATCAGGATCTGCAATATGACCCCGTGGCTGCGTCGCTACGTAGAATGGAATATTGGTCTTCATTCTGGCAACTGTCAGCAATGGACATACCACACGAACGTCCGAGATCATGCTTAGTAAACCTTTCAATGTTGCGTTATAACGTCTAAAGAAATTTCAATTTCTTATATTTCTCGATCTCCAACCTCTAGCTTTGATTAATAATGAAATATATAATAAATAAAAGATTCTAACCTGAGAGCTTCGTCCGCTAAACCAGATGTTCCTAATAAGGACTCCTTTACAATTTTCTCTACTTGTGTGGAATTGAGAGTAGCGTTGGAAGTGAGATACTTAAGAGGGACTCCAGCATGTGCAGTAGTGCCCATTACAATTTTCACCGAAAATTCATCTCTTGCCCAAATTTGACCTACGGGTTCCTGAAGAATGGCACGATCGAGCACCAACCATTCATGTCTCCTATCTCTTGTTGTCGCTTCTCTGGTTTCAGGCAGACCAACGTTTCCTAAATGCCATGTTTCAGGAACTGAATCCATTATCTCCTCGGCACTTTTGCTTCGCAAACAAGCGGCGTCATTACATCTTGTAGAATTTAAAAATAGTTCATTAAGTGTTTCGGAAACTTCTAGTTCTCTTCCGGGAAATATCGCACTACCGCTGGAAATCCACACTCGCTGGAAAAGATCCCTTGTTCGCCGAATGCCAACTAAAGTTGTGACAAGCGTTCCTCCTGCCCGATGACCCCATAAAGTTACGGCCGATTTATTTCCTCCGAAATGTTCAATGTTAAGATGAACCCACTGAAGCGCTGCTATGATATCCGACAACCCGTAATTTCCGGATGTGAGAGGATGCGATGTTCTTGAAAGTTGATCTGCAGCTAAAAAGCCGAAGATTCCTAACCTGAAATATAACAAAACTTAACGCTTAAAATATTTATATAAATTATACAATGTTACCAAAATCAAGTTAAGAAGTTAAGACTAACCGGAAGTTAGGTCTAACAAACACCATATCACGGACACGAGCAAGTTTTGCAGAAGGCTGCATTACACCTGGAGAACCACCACTGAGGGTTTCAGCACCAATCATAACGACCACTGATAAAGGCGAATCATATCTGACTTCAGGCGTGAAAACATCTAAATATAAGCAATCTTCGCTTCCGACAATCCTTCCTGAAGCCTCTCGTTGCCAACAAACTTTCGAGGAATTGTGTGCTTGATACGTATTCGTCCAGCAGTATTCAATTTTTCTTAGGGGTTCCGCAGGTTGCCAACGACGATTTTCTAATGGTGGGATTGCATATGGGATCCCACGAAATGCGAATGCACCATCTTCTGACACACCTTGCACAGGTCCGCAAGAAGTTACTGCTTTGACAAAGCTCCCATCCTTTATCAACTGTGAAACATTCTTTCTCGGACCGATGCAAGCGATACAGACGATAATCACGACTGATACCAGGATACACAATGTTGTCACTATTATTAACACATACATTACACAAAAAATTAATTACCTACATTATTTAAATTTACATAATTGAAATTGTTCAACATTTTAAATTTAAAATAAAAAGATTCAAATCCAAGTCGTAATTTCGTACCTAGCGCAAATAAATTTCTCCTTGCAGCGGATATACAAGCTACAAGAAAATGCTGTTTAGGAGATTCAATTCCGTCTGGAGCATCACCATCGAGTCGAACAGTTTCCATACCATCTTCGTTACTGATAGGATTTTTCTCCGTCACAACATCGTCAAGAGTTTCAACACTCGCCAATCCAGCAGCTCCGGTAATTCCCAATTCCACTTCACCTTCCTAAAATAATTTATAATACATTACAAAATAATGTACAATTAATTTTTGTTTGTATTGAAATTTATAAGACAATATTTGCATTTTCCTATGTTGAAATATTACTGACTAAAACGAATAAAGCAGCTATTAACGGCGAAGCATACACCTTGGTAAAAGGCAGTACGTGCTTGAGTGTGGTAAATTATGTTTCAAGACTGTATAGGGTTTCGCTCGATATATTTCATTTTTATCATAGATAGTTGACACAAATTTCATATTATATTGGAACTTTGTTTAAGAATCTTATTGAAAAAAAATAATTTAAGGAAAAATTAATATAAAAAAACTATTAACTATTAACTACCTTATTTTTTTTTCTAGGAAAAACAGAGACTAAGGGTAACTTTATGGTGTCGAGAATTCTCTTGCGGCTTTCCTTTTCCTTTGCGTCTTTATTCGGTGTGCTTGTTTTCTCTGATGATACATTTTGATCACTTTCTTTAACAGTTTTTTCCGTTGAATCGCCTTCTCCAATTTCAGTAGGCTTACAATCATCCTCCTAACAATAGAAATTATATATGCATTTGGTGTATGTTCTCTATACAATATATGTTTCTTGCATAACATCAATATTCAATTAAAAAATCATCATCATCATTATCATCATCATTTTGTACCGATATTTATTATTTAAAAGGTACATAATCAATAACGCCAGGTGTGCTGTTCGTCTGACGTCATCCATTGGTTTAATGTTGGAAAAAAATCATTACGGGGCTATGAACACCCCTCATGAACACGCCATGGTGCTACAGGAACTTGTGCTCTTTCGAATGACATTGTTTCTTTGTAAACAGACAATCGAGCAAAGAAAGATTTATATTCATGGTGTCATCTATGTTTATATCCGTTTAAATTAAGGTTTCGATGCAATTGGTATAATCATATTCTACACGGGTTCTATAGAGATTTATTTAAACGCCCACGGCAATGTTTGCGTGACTACCAGCGCGTGCAGCGAGCTATTTAAAATAGAATAAATGAATCTCAACGACAGTCGTACACCATACAAAACGATTACACGATTACAATGATTTTCACATAATTTTGAAGAATGAATGAAATATTGCGGATGCAAGTAACATTCGCTTTCCCTATGCATTACATCTTCTACAGGGAGGAAAAAATGCAGGATGCTATTAGTAGACTGAGAATGTGTATGTATATATAGGAAATTTAAATATATAAATACGTAATATTTAGAGGATGAAACAAATTTCCATTTATCTTTTATCCATAAAAATTCGAATTTACGTAAACATCTGCAATTTAGCTATCAGACTTGGATTTCTTGAGGAAGCATGTTGCAAAGCATTCTGGAGTAAGGTTTAAAGCAAGCTGAAACTCTTAAGGTCCTAGATATCTTGTCAGAGAGATAAGGCCACTTAAAAAGACAGTCCTGATAATATACTATTATTGAAACAAAAAGGAAAGGCAGTTTAAAGAGAATTAAAGAGAAAATTCCTTTGCTATTACTTTACACAACTCCTTGCTCTTTGTACGACAGAAGCCGGGCATCTTAATACCGCCAATTGGAATTTTCTTCTTAGGTTTCTGGTCTTCGGATTCCGCGTCTGGAGCGGTCGATGCCACCGTATGTTTCGTGTTCTCGGCGTTCAACATTTTCTCTCTCTCTTCCTCTGCAATTTCTTTCTTATCCATGCTTTTCTCCTGATCCTCTTGACTCATGCTTTACTCCTAAAAATCAGATTAAACCCAACACCAATTAAATATTAACAGATCGGTGTTTTTAATATATAAATACGTTGCAACGTTTTTTAATAGACATAAATCATGTCCACAGACATAATTTATTAATTATTTAATTATTCTTTTGATAGTAATGTTTAGTTATTAAGTAAAAGAGGATCCTTTTTTAATGAATTTGAAAGAATATAAATTTTAATTGGAAGGAGAAATATCATAATGAAAAATTTAAGCTTATGCAATCAAAGGAAAAACGCGTGGGGACGTCACAATTTGTATCACTCCATATACAGAGTGCTTACTCCAATTCAATTCAAATTCAATACACAAACATAAGAAGGAGCAATAATCTGACAGATACCATGAAAATATTTAAAGACAATTTTTTCAGATATATAATATGTAATAAACAAATTTAGTTTATGTTTGAATTTGTTTTCTGATAAAGAATCAATCTTTTTCTAGTTGTACCATCAATTAACAGATATCTCATCAATATAGATAGATTTTGATTAATAATAGTTTTATGTTACATGTTTGCAAATGGTTGAAGAATTGTGCGTCGCGTTGGAGTGAACACCCTGTATACGTATTAAGCATTGCAGCTGGCGTCGGGACGCCCAGACGTAAACCGATCGATCGGATGGCATTGCTCTCTGAGCCTATTGCCCCGAGGAGTCTAGCAATACATAGTTACTTCACTTCTATTTTTTCGATAACTTCCGGTAGCTTTACAGAAGCTTTTACCCTTCTATCAAATTGTATTAATTTTTTAATTATTTTACATTATCAATATAGAAACATCATAGACCAATATAATGTATACATATAAATACATGAACATTTGAGTTACAAATATTTGAAAATAAAGTACTTAATTTTTGGTAGAATAAAAATGAAACAAATAATAATTTTGGTAACTTAGAATTTAAATTAGATTAAAATTCGCAAATATTCTATCATATGTTAATATATCTTAATAACTCAAATTTTCAAATTTAAATCGAACTGGAATTAAAAGATTCTAATTCAGTAGCATGGATTGTTATGTTATGGACTGTCATAGAATTATACACTTTTTATCTATACTCTCTTTCTTAAGTGACAAATACTTTATATACAAGTATATATAGAATATATAGAATATAAAGAAGTAACGTAAAATAAGAAATAATATTGAATTTAATTAAAGACTAGAACAACGTTTATTTCGTACTATATAATAATTATTTAATATGTACATATTTTCTAATGAATTTCCACTATTCACTCTTTCTTCAAATTGCAATTTATACATTGTTAGTTAAAATAATAATGACAAATATATCGTATATATATGTTTAAAAACGATTAATCTTACTCCAAAAACGTATATGATTAATTTTATTCCGAGAAAGGTTACAAATATGAACGCAATAATATAGTTTTAACATTACAAATACGAAGACATGGAGGTAGTCAGTGTACAGACAAATTTGATCCAACAAATACCGGTCGAAAAGTAAAGTGATTTTTTTTCTTTGTACTTCTCCCCTAGCTTGCAGCCCCTTTATATTATGTTTCACGCATCGCCACTGTCGCGCAGTTCCGAAACAAATACGTTGAACTTTCTCTTTCGTGGATACGATTCATACAATTACCTTCTTTCCCCAATAATATTATCCGTTCCTTCGTTTGAACTTAATAAATTATTCGTATAAAATGTATTTAAAATATCCATAAAGACTGTTTCTGCTGCAATTATCTTCTCCTTTTTATCAATTATCTTTTCCTAAAGATAAGCAATTATCTTTCTCCTTTATTTACTATATTATACACATTAGGTAGCCATTTATAATATTATTTAAAAACAATTCGATCAATGTTTATTCTTACTTCGCGTTTTCCCTTTTATTAATCAAATTTACTTGATTTTATCCACGATTCAGTTCAACGTATCTTTCATTGTACGAATCGTGTGAATGGCATTTTCGATATCGCAGGTAACAGAGAAACAAAGTTGTAAATACTCACTCTTTTCGGCAGATTCGGAAAGGACGCTACTGAATTTTGCAGAAAGATTGCTTCTTTTCTGTGTCGAGAAGCTGTCGGATTGCCAGGCAATCTCGAGATGATCGTGTTGATGCTGCCGATAATGATCACTTCATCGATCGTGAGAAGATATTTAAATTTGATTCGGCACCTTACGAGAAAACTATTTCAAACAGCGCAAATATCACAAACGAAACTTAGGGCATGCCTACCTCGACTGTCGCCCTACGAGACGTCTACGATGCTTTTCCCCCACCACGATTTTTATACGATGTGACGCTCCTATTGGTCGATTTTAACTATGCGCGGTCGCTTTGTTTTAAATGCTTCATATCATATGCTCTTTTCTTTATTTGTACCTGTTATTAAACACTGTTATACAACTGAAACTTTGCTTATTTTTATAAAACAAATAAAGATAGAAATAAAAATATTTTATTCGATGTATTTATTAGCTATATAACACATATGAATAGAACTAACCCATTAAGAACCAACGGTGCAATAACATAACATTACACTTGTGATTTCTTTATAATCAATTCACATTATCGAATTCTAGTGAATTCATGTTGGGATTGCGAAAAAAGATTCCATATCTTCCAGATTTTCCATAGATGTTTAAACAAGTTTAACAATTATAGCACAGTAATCTAAATAACCGGTATATATGTTAGGTTAACCAAACATAAAATTTTCTACTACAAGACCTAATCTAATGTTATCACATAATGTCTGAACTTGTTGGATCAATCACTTGCTACAAGCAAAGATAATAAATATCATATACATATCCCTAAAGAAAAAATATTTCAAGAATAAGGATATTTTGAATTATACGTCAGTGAAGATGTGTAAGGTGGTAGTTCGCGCTTAGTCGAGCAACACGCATGCGCGTTCTTTCTGAAGTAAATTCGCGTCGTCGCCGTCGTAATATCGTACTTGCGTTGTACTCGTTTCACGGTACGTAGCGTGCACTGCTGTACAGCCATATACACGTCTACTGTTTGACAGTTCGATTTTAACGCGCGCACACAGTAATCTACGATTCCGGTTCGCCGGTTTGTCTATTCGGTGTTGAAAATTTTTCCTTTGAGGAACGTTTGAACCTGCTTGCCATTGACATGTCTTTCATCGAATTCCGGAGATCGGCCTGTGAGGAAACCCGCTTGTATTCCACAGTACTGGATACATAAGCGTCCATAATGTGTTCGAAGAGGAACGTACCAACGTCTACGTGCCTAGAGATAAGATTCCTGCGTCTCTTCTGGACATCGCGGGGTTAAACTCTCGGCTCGACAGACAGGATAGCTAGTTAGATAGATAACATAAATAGTTAGCAAAGAAAACGGGGAAAAATATAACGAACAAAAGATAACGTCGGTAGCGAAATCGAAAGAGGTTCCCGATTAGGGTTTCTAAGTCGAAAATCGTGAGAAAAATACGGCCGATCAATGTCTTATTTGTGATGGGAGTGCCTGCGCGGGGAGCACTCGCGGCGATTGTCGCCATAAGCGCGTTCGCTGTCTATCTAAATAGCCTTAATTGCGGCTTCGTTTTCGATGACATTTCTGCGATAAAAGATAATCGCGACTTAAGGCCTCATACACCTCTAAAAAACGTTTTTTACAATGATTTCTGGGGTACTCCGATGCATAAGGTGGGTGAATATGATAGAGAGGTGGTTTCGATTCCCCCTTCCCCCTTTTACTCTTGTCTTTACCTTCTTGTGTATTGATCCGTTCAACTCTTCTCCTCCTTTCCCTTCCCTTTCGATTTGGTTCGATTCGAATCAGTTTTATCCAAGTCAATTTTTTAGTATCATTTCGAATTATTTAAGTTTCTTACATGGATAGAATCAATATCTTTTTTCAGTCGACTTTATTTCTGGTCAGAGAAGTTTGCTTTTTTTGTTGCTTGTCGATCGTTTCAACGAAGATAATGTTTTTCGTTTATTTTGCTCTTAAATAAAATTGTATAATAAACGCAAAACTTTGAGTAACTTTCTGTTTATTTTGCTATATTCCACTATGTATGATCCTATGAAATGTATAATTAAAATATTTTATTGTTTATGTAGTTGTATAAGATTATCTTATGTACAAAATATTGAAAGAATTCTGTTCTTGCAAATAGGAGCAGTCGCACAAATCATATAGACCTTTGTGCGTTCTCACATTCCGATGGAATTACTTGATTCACCAGTTGGATCCTATGGGATATCACCTGCTTAATGTTATCCTACATGTTGGAGTATGCTTATTATATTTCAGGTGTGTGTTTTTTTAAACTAAGACTTCTCCTTTTTAACTTTGCTATATAATTAATTGATTTAGTCCCACAAATAGTAGGCAAATTAAAAATTAGATACTGAAGGAAGGAATGTAACACAACATTAATAACTTATTTATATATCATTGAAATTGTTTTCATTCATTTTATAAAGTAGTTACAAATCAGTATAAAGTGTGTCTTAATCACCATTGCAGGACATGCTTGATGTTTCTATCTGATTCTGCAACTTTTGTATCTTCTCTTCTGTTTGCGGTTCATCCTATACATACAGAGGCAGTAAGTTGTTTAGACTGCTTTCCATATCGATCGAATCGATCGACGTTACCTTGAAATTATATGAGAATATTATTTGATAATTATTTCTAGTCCTTGTTCTTCCCTTCGGCGACAATCTATCATGTGTCCAGATTCAAAGGGTCGACGTCGAGCGATCGATCGCGTCGTAGTTCCTAGTTCGTGTTTAGATGCATTGTCAGTGGATAATCGTGTATTAAGGTTACAGGAGTGGTCGGAAGAGCAGAAACATTGTCCTCTTTATTTTATTTAGCGGCTCTAATCATGTACACTAAATGCTGTAGAAGTAGAAGATCTACAGGTAAAAATGTTTAAAAGTTTCTTTTTATCCTTATTTCCTAATAGATTTACTACTACAACTTACTATTCATTCAAGTAGATATTAATGTTTTTATATTTTTCTTAGGATGGAAATCTTTGATATTATCTATGTCTTTTGTTTTCACTGCCATGTTGTGCAAAGAACAAGGAATAACAGCCACTGCAGTTTGTGTATTCTATGAAATTTTTGTTGTGCAAAAGGTAAATTCATATGTAAACCATATTTATTAATATTAAATATTTATTTCAACTTGTATATTTCATTACCTGCTTAGGTAAGAGCAATGGATATTTTCCTAACGTTAAAGGCAGCTTTTGGTGGGAAGAAAATATCACTTGCTTGGTCCAGTGAAGGTACAAAACGATTGACAGTCCTTACGCTTGTCACGTTTAGTTTACTTATCCTTCGGCTACATGTAATGGGCTCAAAGTTACCTGTATTTACCAGGTATCTATAAATAATAATTAAAAGATATCAAAGAATCTTATTCTTGCAAATAATAGTTCTAATAGTAAAACAAAGAAAAATAATTCTTTAATGACACTTTAGATTTGACAATCCCGCATCTGTGGCCCCAACGCCAATAAGGCAGCTTACCTATAATTACCTCGCAGCAGTTAATCTAAGGCTGCTATTTCTTCCAAGCGATTTATGCTGTGATTGGACTATGGGAACGATACCGTTAATAGAAAATTTTACAGATCCTCGTAATCTGGCCACTATAGCAACTCATACGACCATATTAGGATTGTTGGTAACAGCAATTTTAACACCTAATAGACAAACTTCCATTATTCTCATAATGGTTAGTATCAAATGTAGACTAACTGCGTTTTTCGCTTAAAGTAAATATATTATTTCCAAGAAGTAATATGAACCGAATGTTTTGTATAGAGCTTGGCTATGATGATACTCCCATTTTTACCTGCCTCAAATCTCTTCTTCCCAGTTGGATTCGTCATTGCGGAAAGAGTATTGTATGCTCCATCTATGGGATTTTGTATGCTCATTGGATATGGATGGAGCATTTTATCCGATAAAAAGTAAATTTCGCTAAAAAGAAAATATCGTTGAGTATTCAAAATTTTCTCAAAAACATATTTCTAATTTTCATTTCTTATATTTGCAGATTTAAGAAAGTAACACTATTTTTATTAATAACTCTTTTGGCTGCGCACACAACGAAGACTTTTATCAGGAATTACGATTGGTTGGACGAATATTCTATATTCATGTCAGGATTAAAAGTGAATGTTCGCAATGCTAAATTGTTCAATAATGTGGGGCATGCTTTGGAAAGTCAAGGAAGATTCAAGGAAGCATTAAATTTTTTTAATATGGCTGTGCAAGTTCAAGGCGATGACATTGGTGCACACATTAACGTGGGTAGAACCTATAATCACCTGAAAATGTTTAAGGAAGCTGAAGATGCATATCTGAAGGTAAATGCATAGTTAAAGTGATGTATTTATTAGAATGTAATGATAAAGTATTAAGTTTATCTGACAACTTTCTTTCAGGCGAAATCTTTACTACCAAAACCAAAACCCGGAGAGTCGTACCAAGCGCGAATAGCTCCGAATCATTTGAACGTTTTCGTAAATTTAGCAAACCTAATAGCGAAGAATGCAACTAGGTTAGAGGAAGCCGATCTGCTTTATAGACAAGCCATTAGTATGCGCGCCGATTACACGCAAGCGTATATTAATCGAGGCGATATTTTAATTAAACTTAATCGTACCAAAGAAGCCCAAGAAGTTTATGAACGGGCCCTTTTTTACGATAGTAACAATCCAGACATTTATTACAACGTAAATATCAAGAATGAAATCATTAATGTTACCAATGTTTATTAAAAAAATAAACTATTAATATGATAATGCTTTAATTTTTAAAGCTTGGGGTCGTATTTCTTGAACAAGGGAAAGCATCTCAAGCTCTAGCATATCTTGATAAGGCTCTCGAATTTGATCCAGAACACGAACAAGCGTTACTCAATTCAGCTATTTTACTCCAAGAGCTAGGACGTGCTGAATTACGAAAAGTAGCTAGAGAAAGGCTTCTGAAACTTTTACGAAAAGTATTTTGCTCTACATTTATTCATACACAATGTAAAGATAATATTTCAAAATAGTTCTTCACATCATAAATGTATTGATACTTTCAGGATTCTAACAATGAACGAGTTCATTTTAATCTTGGAATGCTGGCTATGGATGACCATGATAGCGCAAGCGCAGAACGATGGTTTCGTAATGCTGTTGCTCTTAAAGAGGATTTCCGTTCAGCATTATTCAATTTGGCTCTTTTGCTAGCAGATGAACAACGCCCCCTTGAAGCTGCTCCATTTTTAAACCAACTAGTTAGATTTCATCCGGACCACGTTAAAGGATTAATTCTCCTAGGTGATATTTATATAAATAATATAAAGGATTTGGATGCTGCTGAAAATGTAAGTTAGAGAGATAGAAGTCATAAAATTCTTTCAAATATTTTATGCACCATAGAAACACTAATGGGGATTTTTTAATTGTTACAGTGTTACCGTAGAATACTGCAACTGGACCCAACAAATATTCAAGGCCTTCACAATTTATGTGTCGTAATGGTTGAGCGTGGTAAGTTAGGCTTGGCTGCTCAATGTTTGGAAAGAGCTGCAGCCCTGGCACCTCATCAGGATTACGTGCATAGACACCTGGCTATTGTCAAGGCTCGTATCAGCAGACTACCTCCGGAGCAGCGCGACACAGAGGTGTTCGACGATTCCTTTTGGCAAACTGGTCCCATGGAAAGAAATTTCAACATGGGAGATATTTCCAGCAGCAGTAGTGTTGGAAGTACTAGTGGTGCAAATGGTCTCGGCAATATGGAAAATAGCGGTAGCCAATTTCTAGGCAAAACGGATTCTGTATTCTCGAATCACCATAATCATATAAGCCATAAAAAGAGCAGCACGGACTCAATGAATAATCATATTGTGCATCTGAAGAGTTCATCGAAACCTGCAAGAGTTCCATTGAACGAAGTGAAGCAGGAAGTGAAAGATACGCACATCAATCACGACAGATCGTTGAAAACGAGTGCAAGTTCGAACGAGCAGCAAGAATTTTCGCCTGGAAAGGTTTTTGGTAAAAGCGTGAGCTCAGATGCAACGGAATTGACAATCGATCGGGAACGTACGACTAAAATGAGTAATTCGGAGAAGTTCGATAGCGCTACACCGGCATTTTCAACTGGCGAAAAGCATGCTGGAACCACGCGACAAAAAGATACCGCACTTTCATAGTACTGACATTTGAAAATCGCGCCGAATATTGTATAAAGTTATATTCTACATATAACGAAAGAATATGGTGGTACAGTCGTATAGAGCTAATGTGTGAATATAAAATAAATACAGAGTATTGTTTTATATGCTGTACGAATAGAACGTTTTGTAAAATATATTAAAAAATGTGCATTCCTTTGGTTTTGTCTTTATAATCGAATACGAATAGAGCTTTTACCTCTGCTCATAAATTATGATTCCTCATTCTATATTTTAAACATTCATATATTTTTTATTATATACATTATTTTTTTTATCAACTTCAATTAAAGAAGTATTTGAACATCATCTTTTTTATTCCTGTAAAATATATTTTGATACCAATATCTTCTTTTTAAAGATCATTTTATAAATTTTGTTTGATTGTGCTCGAAAGAGAAATGAGAAATTGATATGCAGCGAAATACCATATTATCTCATTTAATGTAACAAAAGATAATGTGTTCAATATTACTAGAGATGTTTCTACAATTTTATAAAGAACTCAGCAACCTTTTTTGCTAACATATTTTTTCTGCTTTTCCTTAGTGAATCACGAGCTTCTTCACGAGCCGGTAAGTGTATCCCTTAACGTATACTTTGCATTTTCATATGTATATTGTATTTTTATTAACTTACATTTAAATGAGAAATAAATATAATACACGGAATATATATTTAGCGCTAAAAAAGTAAGAAGGTTAATTTCAAAGGTAAATTTTAAAAAGAAACCAAAGAAGAAGATAATTTGAGATCAGTGAGTTTCATGTTCACCTCTTCTCAAGATTTAAAACTAAACTTAGGTCCCTATCACTGTAAGCGGATTTCTTGTCAATAACGTGGATAACGATAGTAGTAATAAGTAGTAGTGATAGATAATAAAGTAATGCGATAATCAGCCAGGAATACAACTACAACGCTTGGCTAAAAAATGAAAAAAGAAACAAGAACAAAGTAGAAATATGTGGCTGCTCGCGCGTTTACCATCTCTATCACCAACTTGTGTTAGTAGGGGCTGAGCTTATATGCATATTGCTGGGATTGCCGATTTTAAACAGAGTAAAATAACTAGTAATCGGTGGATCAAGAATCGAATACGACCTCCTCTCTTTCCTCTTCTTCTTTCACTTCTTTCTATCCTCAATGTTATATTTCTCTTTTTTCTCTTCTTCCATCTATAGACCTTTTTTCCTTACTCTTGCTTAAAGAAAATCAAAGAGAAAAATAAGGTGTTCAAGTGGATCTGGAAAATCTTCAGTGTATTAAAGATGTTCTCTGAAAAAGTAGACGCGTCAGGTGTACATGGTAATTGTTCAGTATTTAAACGTGTATTCAAATTTTAAAGATGGAAGGGTATTGTTGAACGGAAACGGTGGTGTTTAATTGTTTCGATGAACCGAATGAAATGAAGACAAATAAGCGGAAAAAAAGAACAATGCATTATTACGAATTACCCTTTTGCGTCGATCATTTCTGTTCGTTTTAAGCGTCGACATCTGGCCAAAGGATATTTGTGTCATCTTTGGTTACGGATTATGGAAGTATGAACATTTTCATGAGAGAAGTACCTAAACGAAGCGATTACAATATTTGTTTTAATTTAATTTGAAATCGTTGCTGAAAATTCGATCTTACCAGAGTGGAAGATGTCGATAAATTAATATAATCGATTATCTCTTATCGATTACATAATTCAATAGATCAATAAGCAATTCTCAGAACCATTAAGACAGTTCCATTTCTACGCTCTGAAAATTTACGATATTACAGAAAAAGACAATTAAGAAAAGGGAAGGAGAATATGAATAAAATACTTACTGTATATGTCAATGTTCAAGATTGTGAAGAAATTTTTTATCCTTAGAGTTAATCGAAAGGTAACTGTCCAAAATTATATAAACTAATTCCTTTCATTCATATATATAACGGCATGCAAAATAAAATTGAAATTATCGATTCATGCTTGAGATATTCGATATCAATCGATTCGATATATTCGATACATAGTATTGCCTTGCAAACTGACGATCACTATAAAAAATACCTTCGTTGTTAAATAGTTGAATAATCACTAATTTTCTAGCTCTAATATTAATTCTAGTATTAACCTTTTACAGTCTATGGTATTTTCAAACTTTCGTTGCAATCGATTCACGCTGATTTCGTCAGTTATTACTGTTAAGACAATATTTTGTAGTTTTCTGCTACATCAATATTTTAATAACACAATAATGCAACATATATGATATATGATATCATATACGAAATGTGATGTGACGATGAAGGCTTAAATCCTATTCAAATAATTTTGTAAATTTACTGTTTTGTTTTTAATTGTGTAACTCTTCTATATAGCGATTTGACGATGTAATATAAACTATAAACTATCAATTTTCGAATTTCAGTATCTCAGAGTAATTTCAGTATTACTTGGGTTAAGTATCGGATATCACTGTCTTATTCTATTTCTCTATTCACTTCACATCGAGACAGAATTAATGCCATAGATCTTCTCTTATTAACTGACCAGATTATCTAAATAATTGGTCAATTAGCAAGACAATCAATAAAATCTATATGAATTGATCTATTTATACCTATTAGTAATGAATATAATCTATACGAAACGGTAGTCTATAATATATAGTTTAGATTTAGAATATTGCAATTTAAAAATATGCAGGAGAAACAGATATTTTTAAATTGAAGCCTTAAGTTTATTTCTTATCAGTGTGTTCAGCGACAATATTATCTACATTTGTTTTCATTACGTACATACAACTTAAAATTTTATCGAAATAGAAAAAAAGTGAACTCTTACAATAACGAATATTTTTGCATTCAATAATTATCACGCGTATTATTTTTTATTTCGCGTTGCTTCTCGAAATGTATGTATTTTGCTTGTATGATTACGTGCAAAGAAAAATACATTCCTGCTTATTGAATTTTTATTTATGTTTCATGCTCTTTATCAACCTGCACAATTCAACCGCGAAGAATATATTTAGACTATTCAAAATGCTATCCTTCGACTAATGTAATTGATTGTGAAGAAAAAGAAATCTACCAAACTGTGATACATCGTGATATACACATATAATATTCCTATACATGTATACATATATGTATATATACATACTTTATTGATCTCTATCTTGTCGACGTATGAGTAAGTAACTCTATTACAATAAAATATATTCCCTTTTATTATAGAGCTTGATCTTTTCATTATTTATTTTTTGATAATGTACAAATTATTATCCTACATCGATTGGAGGTTTAAAAACGATTTTGTTATATAGTTCATTCTTAACCAATTAAAAAGAAGAAAAACCGCAACAATTTGTGAGAGTGAATAGAATGTTACACTGTGGGAAATAATAGTTAAATAATATCTATGTTGCTGGAGGAAGTTATATCAGCACGGTACGTTGAATCGTGAATCATTCTCCAGTATGATAATTAATATCTTAAAAACAATCGTCAGTATTTCCTATGACCATTATTTCTATCTAAATTTAATTATTTATCAACTTTTTATAAAATACCATTAGTATTGTTTATCTTAAAAAAATGTTACTGCTACTATTTCAACTTTTTTGTGTATTTATTGAAATAAATTTTTAAAGTAGATAATACGGAAAAGGTGAAGGAATAATTCTTTGATGATATAATGTTGCTCGATCTTTTACACAGGTTTCCTTCCTGATAATCTTTTTCAAATATTCGCGCGTGGATGAATAAGGGGAATTCTTGAGATATTTGAAAAGCATTCGATCCAGGATTTTAACACGGAAACATTTACAGTACAAGATTCACATTTGCACGAATGATATCTAAAAATAGGTCGTTACTCGACGACTGGTACGCGACAGCAACAGCATGGGGCTTCATTATTGATAAGTCCTGATAAAAGTTAATAAAAGCGATTTAAATAGACATACTTGGGAGGATCCACTTATGATACTTGAATTTCGAGTTCACCCAGTACAAGTGTTCGCTTTTAAGTTTAGCTCATTTGGATTTACAAAAATTCAATCGACATTCTTTCTATTACGAATAGATGTTACAGTTCTTTGACACCTTTAATTTATCAGTAGTTGAATATCATACTAATTATATTATATAGTACTGTATATTATATTAATAGTATCGTACTATATGATACTAATACTGTTATAATGTATAAGCTGCAGATGTTTATGAATTTATAGAGAACTTGAATATACAAAAATATATAAAGTAAAACAAACATATTAGGTGCTATTTCATTAATTGCATTCATGAAAATATAAATTTGCATAAATATCTGTATTGTAATAATAGAATATGATTAATGATTTTTTTCAATGAGAGTAAGCTACTATAGTATTATTATTATTACAGAATCTTACTAAATGTAAAAATTTGCAAAAATATTTCTTTGCTTCTAGATGTACGCAAATCGATTATACGCGCTCATGAGTTTAATACTCGTGATAGTGATCCTAATACCGGTAGCGGAACATGCATCGGATACATACAAGCAGCGGAACATACATGGATCGGATGTATTTCAGTATGGTCAAAAGGGACAATCTAGGGATCAATCTCGAGATCAATCTCGAGATCAATCTATGACAGAAATGCACCAATATTGTGGCCGAATTTTGTCAAGTACTTTACAGATAATATGCGGTAGTGTTTACAATAGCCGATTTAAAAAAAGCAATCAAGGTAAGTAGATCATACATTGCAAAAAGCATATTGCTCTTAAATCATTTGTTGCAAGAAAAAGATAGGAAAGGGAAGTATGTAAATATAGTTAGAAACGTTGCTACTACTGACCGATATCAAATGGAGGAAAATTATAGGAATTTCAATATTTTCATTTAAATATTATATATTCTTTCTTTTTCTTTTAGAAATGGAGATGGATGATTATATGGCCTTTAGTTACGATCTGCATCCTTATAAGTCTATCAAGAATGCGAAAAAAATGATTAGATTTCGAAGAAATGGACGGGGAATTCACGAGGAATGTTGTTTAAAATCTTGTACGACCGAAGAGCTGCGCTCCTATTGCGGTGCTCGTTGATGAGAGAATCATTTTTTAAAACATAAGCAAAAGATTGAGGAAATGCTTAAATGTAATGTTTTTCCTATTTACTAACATACCATATTTTCGATAGCCATTTTTTATGTTTCAATCAATATAATAATTCAGCAAAAGCAACATGATATTCTGTATAATCTTAGATCTATTTAAAACTGTTAGCTCAAACAGTTTATTCAGAAATGATCTACTCATCTCAATTTTATGTGATAATATAATTTATACAATTATTCTTAATACTTATTCATTTCTTATTGTACTATATGAAATATACAAAGACTTTAATATCGAACGATGTTGCTTTAAACAAAGTGAATACCTTATTCGTGATAACGAATAGTATATATGTGATATATAATACATGCTTGTAATCAATTGTATAAGAGATTGTAATTGTTGTATGATCATTTTTAAAAATTAAGAGCTAGTAAGTACTTATATATATGTGATGAAAACTTACTAAGAGTTGTTGTCAGCTTTAATCGCGTTGACTCAACTGACTCAAATGTTTAAAAATTTACTGAAAGATCTGATCTCATTTGTACTTAACCATATATTGTGTAAGACTAAATTCAATGTTAATTATTAAATATGTTTTCATGTACCAATGTGTCGTTATTTAAAAATACACAATCATTAAGAAAAACGATAATAACAATCAATAGGTTAGTTTTTATAGATTTAATTTTTTAAAAGATATATATATACATATATATATACGTACAAATTATTTATAAAATATATGAATACATATTTATAAATTTTAATATATTGTTTTAAATTGTAAATTGAATTATAATAATTTATGTATTTACTTTATATATATTCTTGTATTTAGGTTACATATGCATGTAAGTACATACAAAATAATTTAAAAAATAAAGAAACGAAATGTATGCGTATAATTGTATAAATGTTAAAAAAGATTCTTCATATCAAATATGAAACTTCTTCAGGCGAAAAATTTTTGGAATCTTCATATTATGTGAATAAATATTTAGCAAACAATGGAGATGGAAGAAATTTATAATCTCACTATTTTTCCATTAGTTACGTCCAAATTTTCAGTTCAATGGTCTACAGATAATCATATATCAATTCTTACTGAAAGAGGAATTCACATATTCGTAAGTTTAATCTAATAGTATCAATATTATATGTGGAATTAATATAATATACCTAATGACGATATCTTTTGCAGGAATTCATACCTTCTCCAATGTCTCCTTGTTCAACTATAAAATTTATTAGATCTTTCATTTATGCACCTTCAACACTTCCAACAGAGAATATATCTAACAAAATAGAATCTAAAATTTGGGGCATGCAACGTGAAGCAGTTTATTCATTTATAATGGAGGAGAGTTTAACTCCAAAATTATCTAATTTAAAAGAAATGGTACCAAAAATAATTGACTTAACTTGGTCACCGCAGAACTTAATACATCCCAGCAAATGTCTTATTGCAATTTTAACTTCAGCAGGTGCTGTTACAATAGCATATAAAATTTCTAAAGACTGGTATCCTGCATATGATTTATCTTCTATACACTATAATTTTATAGAGCAAGAAATTAATACAAAACTGAAAGAATCTAAAAATAATTCAACTTTATTTGAAACATTTAAAAATTGTTTAAAAGCATTACAAGCTTCTTGTTTTACTTGGAGCAAGCTTTTTGAAAATTTTGCATATTTTGCTGTTGCATATTTCAATGGAGATATAATTATCTATAAAATTCCAAAAATATCCGACTATAATGAAATATCAAATCCTGAGATTATAGGAACAATAAGATTAAATGAATATATAAAAATAAGTGCTTTAAATTGGGTTACAATTGACATAAAAAAGCATTTAATTATTGTTGGATATATTGATGGACGTATTCATGGTCTTAATATTGAAGATCGTGATCAGAATATGGAGCTAAAATTTATTGAGAAATATTATGATTATAAAGATCGTATTTCTATTAGCGCTATAAGAATATTTCCTCAAAATGACTTGAACATAAAAATCTTAGTTGCAAAAGGTCCCTTTTTGTTTTTATTCTGCATTGAGAAAAATGGTACACTAAAAACTATGGAACATTTGCAATTAGAAGGCTTCACGATCTCGGGTAAATAAAATTGTGTTACTATACAATTTACAGGAAAACGTACAATATTAATATAAGTAAATTAATAATTTTTAGGAATGACTTGTATAAGCACAAATTATGCATTAGTCACTACAGAAAATGGCTTAATGTTTTCAGTTAATACGGAAAGAAATCAATTTTTAAAAAAGAAGGTAAACAATAAATTATCGCAAAGTCATGTTCGATATTTAGGTTGCGCACATTCTCCAAGCTTTGTAATTTTTATAAACGTAACTAGTCCGAACACTATATACGACCATTTAGTAATGAAGGAACCGACCAAAATACATATGTTCTGCTTAAAACATAAAAACTGGGACCCATTAACTGTTTTAAATGAGAACAAACATGAGAGATTAGAGCAATTATGGGATTGTTTAGAAGCGATTAGGATGAAAGCAACAAGAGCATTAAATCCGACGATTCTTTTATCAAAAGTACCATCCAATTTAGAATCTTTATCTTTGCATGAATTACGAGTAGTAATGTGGTCATCTGTGATGATACAAGTTTGTGAAAAGAAAAAGGTCATTCAGGGAATAGGTAGTATTGCTGGAGAAATATCAGAAGCACAACCCTTAATTTTTGTTCACTCTGCATGCAATTATCTTATGCGTCTTGAAAGCAAATCTTCTTTGTCAGAACAGCAAAAGCTTTCCATATGTTTATTAAAGATGCATTTAGAAGCATATTTGACTGGAGAAGAAAATAAAAAAGTAACACCATTTTACAAACATATTAAAGACGTTTTAAAAGAAACATGCAAACTCAATTTAAGTAATATTGAGACTTGCAATCTGTGTGGTGAAATTATAAATGAACTTCCTTGGAAAGTTACCAAATGCTCACAAGGCCATATATTACCTAGGTGTCCTATTACCCTCTTGCAAATAACTACCATGCAGTACCGAACATGTCCAATATGCAGTTTAATTTTTCATCCATGCTTGGAAAAAGAGTTTGAAGAAACAAGATGTCTTTTTTGTGATGTTCCTGCACTTGAAGAAAACCGAGTGCTGAATACAAAATGTTATATTCCGAAGGAAAAAAGTTTGTCCAGTTTACAAAGTCATACTCTACAGATGTCAGAAGATCGAGAAATGGATACAGTTGCTGATGAATCTTAAGACATGTAAATATAAAAATATATCTAGTAATAAATGATATAGGTCGTTCAAGATTTAAAATAATATTTCCTGGATCAACAGAAAATTTATTAGGCCTCCATCAGGAAAAATATTAACTTCTTAGGTGATTTATTCTGTAATAAATTACTTAAATTATAAATTATCTGCATGTGTATATACACACACACACGTGCGCGCGCGCGCGTGTTATATATATATATATATTAGTTATATATATATTATATATATATATATATAGTTATATATTATATATTATATATATATTAGTTATATATATATATATATATATATATAAGTGTATATATGTATATATAGATAAATATATAATTTTATGTATTTATTTATTGTTAAATAATATGTTTTCAATAATGAGTAAATAAAAGTGATATTTTAAAGAATTTTGTTGTGAAATTCTCCAACCCATTTGCCACATGCTTATATGTTCATATCCTATTTATTTGTAATATGTAAGTAATAATATTTTCATATTTGTTATAAAAAACATATGTATAAAAATTAACAATTAACTAATTTATATTTGACATACTTAAATATAGTTTGATGTCCTACTGCCAGAGGGCAGTTTATTCAGTAAGACCATACATATAACTTTCAAGTAATTATTATCAGAGTTATTACATTCCTACGTGTATTTTTTCATTTAAATATTATACTTTTTATTAATTTAAATATAATAATATGTGAAAGTTTGAGATGATTTATAAAAGAATGTCAGGTGAAAAAGGTCTCTCCATATTGTTTAACCAGTTTGTTATGATTTAAATTTATACATATGTAAATATGAACCTGTGAAATAGTAATAAGTAAATAATAATAAATAGTTAATATATACAAATTTTTAACTTTATTTTAATCTTAAAGAATCAACGTGTAAAAATGGCAATAGCGATTATGCACTCATTTGCAGAACAAAAAAGTCATATTGTCGTAAATGTAATTACTTTCGATGTTATAAAAATAAAACAGTAACAATTTTTCGTTTTTGAGATTAAAACAATTTTACATACCTAATATATGCATAGTGGAAAGACAAACTTGCAAATTACATCAACTTTTATTTATAAGTGATTGCTCGATATTTTTGTTATAGATAATATGCTAAACATTTGTATGATGACTTTAATTGATTTTAAAATTATTGAATATTTAATTAAAGAGTAATATTGGTTAGAATTTAGAATAGAAGTAGAATACATAGAGAGAAAATATATGAATTGATAAAATAAAAGATCTTGTAATGTGCATTTTTAATATTTTTCTATTATTTTAATTCTATGACTATTTTTTACAGATACAATTTTGGGAAGGACCAAATAAAAAGTACATGTTATAAGTACTTTATCTTCTTTGTTTGTTATTGCTATAATATGCAATTAGATAATGTCTCTGAATGTTTAAAGATTAACACATTCACAGCTCATGCTAAAAGATATACTTCCTTTCCATATATCTAAGAAAGCGATATGCATGCATTTTGCATTAACTGCTTCAAAACAATTAATTAGTTATAATAATTTTTGTTTCCCCAATAATTTTTGTTAGAATATTCATTTGAATTATTCCTTGCATGTAAAACATTTACAATTTAATTATCTACACAGAAATTCAAACACAAGGTATTCCTCTATCAGGAGTTATATGACTTCTAATGTTAAACATTCCTAACCCATGGATGGGTCAACGGACTTGTGAGTAGAAAATACAATGACCCATACATGGGCAGGAGATTATGAATTTGTTAAAGTAATCTGAATGGTTAATAAAACCAGAATAGATAAGATAATATGACATAATAGTGTAGGTGATATGACATTAATAAAAATTCTTTTAATTCACAAGTGTTAAAATAGAAATTTATGTTTCCAGAAACATATATAACAAGTTTAATCTGACATTTTGGGTTCTGAAATTGGAAAATAAAAATGTTTTATACTTAATTCAAGGTCCTTTTGGAAATAGAGAACTATTTTGTCAATCACTATGTCTTCTTTGTTCAAGTAAGTATATACAAAGAAAAAATAAATTCTTATATGTTAATTCTGCATAGTTTTAGTGGGAAATTATGTGAAATCAATTATGTAGTATAATTAATATAATTTCTGTTTTTGTGTAACATATTCAGAATGTAATAATAATATAATAATTTAAAAGCACATCTTTGATTTCAGAAGAGACACTAAAAGCAGAGTATATATGAAAGAACGGCTTGCAAGAGTGGAAGAAGTGAAAAAATCAATACAGTCATTATGTGACAATGATTCCAGTACTCCTGAAGATGTACGACCGTTCTTTTATAAATTTGGAAATTCACGTAAGATGAATAGAAGAAGTCTATTGTAGAAGGAAATTAGAAATGTTTATTACAATAAGTTAAAATTGTAATTCTGATTCAGAAAAATTATCTTTAATTATTTCCTAGGTGATAATTCAACTGAAAGGTCATCTGATGAAGATGGCATTAACAGACCAAAACAAACAAGAAGGTCTAGAAGAGAATCCTCTGAGGAGGAGAGTGAAACTGCTCATCATAAACAAAAGAAAGGCAAGGAACATTTAAAAAATGATGGGCACAAAAAGATTATGAGAAATAAGAAAGTTGATTCTAATAATATAAGAAAAGAAAAGAATAAAACCAGAAATTCAGTTTCTAGTGATTCAGATGATGCAATTTATGAGAAATCTGCTGAAAAGAAGACAAAAAGACATTCATCATTAAAGTCAAAACAAAAAGAAACAGATTCTAGTTCTGACAAAGAATTCCAAAAATCAAAAATTTCTCTTAGTGGTTTGAGTGTTATGAAAAAAACTGGGAAGAATCGAGTAATATCCACTGAGTCAAATCAAGAATCCACATCACAGTTAATAAAAAAGACTAGAATCAGTAAAGAACAAAGCTTACAGTTCAAGTCTCATGTTGTGAAAATTTTTAATCAATTTAAGGTAATTTGTTCAGAATATGAAATACAGATGGAACATGTAAAATGGAAATATTTTAAGAAAGAATTAACATACCAAGAATCAGCATTTAATGTTATAGAAAAATCAAAAAATGTGATCAACAATCTTGAAATGGAACTTAATGCACAAAAAGAAGAATTAACAAATTTTTATGAAAAATGGAGTAAAAGTCATAAAGTACAAAACATAGCTCGTTCTTTAAGCGATAACGAAATAGCAAAAGAGAGAGAGGATACAGAAGAATCCAATAAATCCGAGAACAGCTCGAATGCAGCAAGCGCAGTTTCTGAATGTGATAATGAAGAAATATTTTCTGATGAAGGAACAAGTAATACGAAAATAAACGCTGATAAAAACAAAACAAACAATACATCAACTAAAGTTTCAGAAAAATTAATAGGTGACAATGAAAAGAGTGATCAAATTATCTCTTCCATCTTAGACAACAAAAAGGAAGATAAAACTTATACAAGAGATGATTTGAAAGTAATTGATGCAAATGAGAAGACATCTGAAGAATATCAGATATCTACAAATGAACATGCTATGAACAAATCCATAGATGATATATTTGAAGATACACCTGAAGATATAGACATTAATGATTTGATAGAAGTCAGAGATGAATGTAGGAATGAAAATGGTTTACAATTAAAAGAACTTGAAAAAAATAATGATAATAAAGATAAAAACTCTTTCACAAATGAAAAATTAGATACAAAACTTACAGATAAAAACTCGTGCCCTACGAAAATTGAAAATGCAAAATCTAAATCAGTTTTTTCTGATGAAATTGTAGAATCAACTGAAGAAAAGAAAAATGACGTTTTAAATGATATTGATGCCGAAGAACAAGCTAAGAGGGCAATGTTAGAATCGGACTCAGAAACACCCACAAATGATGAATCACTGAATGAAAAATTTATTGAAAGTTTCAGCACAAATGATAGTTTCGAAGAGAAAGACGTATCGCAATCGAAAAAGATAAAATGTGATAAAAAAGAAGAAAAAGATAAGACACAAAGTAATTCTATTCATGAAAATAATTTATTAGACAAACCTGATGAACTCATTAATGAAGAAGTTAATGCTAAACGTGCACTTCTTGAGTCAAATTCAGATGATTCTATGAGTCCTTGTGATAAAAAAGAAAGTTTAAGTAAGAAACATTATTCCAGTGACAGTAGTGAAAATTCAAGTTCTGATAATGATAAAATGATTACATTGAAACCACTAATAATAAATACTTCTTCAAAGAAAAATAAAGATGAAGATAAAAATCTTACAAAAAACAAAAAAGCATTGGATTCTAGAGAACCAACACGTTTACCTAAAATAAGTTATACTGGGTCAGATAAAAAATTAAAAATGTTTTGTAAAGTTGTTGTTGAAAAATTATCAGAAAATGATCTTAAAAAGTATAAGAATGCGTTAGAAAAATCTCGACAATATTTAGAGAATAAAGAGCTTAGAAGGTACAAAACAAAAAAATTATTTTTCATTACTTGGGATAAAATTTTTATATATTTACTTATATATATACTTATTTTTGCAGTCTAATTGATTTGGATAGGTTACAAAACAATCGTAAAAATACTTTTGGCTCGACACGAAGTTCTTTATCTAGAAAAGCAAAAAAGACTAAAGTAAAGGAAATTGAAGATTTGAAAAACGAAAATGCAGAGGAAGATTCTGATATAATTGAAAATATAGGGGAAGATTCTGATATAAACAATGATATTTCAATCGCAAAAATACAAGCTAATTTCCAAACTAATAGAGAATTAATGTTGGAAGCAGATGCAGTTACTAAGAAAGCTCTTTTATATTCTTCCGACTCAGATATTGGTAAATATTAGACTAGCTTCTTCTAAATTTAATGTCATTTCTTATTTATTAGCATTACATATTAAATTTATTTATAAAATTAAATTTTATATATCTTATTTCAGGTGAACGAAAAGAATCTACCTCTGAAAACAGTAACAGTGAGGAGGACAAAAGTAAAACTAAATCAAAGGATGTTTCAAAACGATCAACTCAAAAAGTTG